GGTCATTATTAGATAGAACTGAATTTCCTTTTGGTTTCCCATGTTTTAAAAATCCATGTCGGGCTTGCTTGAAGAATGTTGATGAGGATTATGGTTCTCTTGCATTAAATTTTTTTTTTGGTTTTAATAGTACTTGTGCCACATGTTGTTATGCCTTATATAGGGGCATTCAGATGAGGATAGATCGCAAGGAGCTGAAGAATTTAAACATGAGATCACAGAAGCAATGCGTTCGGAAATGGAATATCACGCAGATCTTGCATGGTAAGTTTTACTTTCCTTTAGAGGCAGGAAATTAAAGATTGGTGAATCAATAATGTTTTATGAACTGAGAGCATAGTCTCACTCTTCACGTTGATTGTCGAACCACTAGATTTTATAAGGCCTGTATAAACTTGTTGGTGATTGTCATTTCGCAGGTATGATACAGACGAAGGGAACTCACTGTTCGATGCGGACAGTGCATCCTTTTTTCTTGGAGATGATGCTTCTCTACAAAAGAAGGAAGCTGAGCTGGCAAAGAGACTGGTATTTGTCTATAACAATTACGCACTCTTTCTTTATAAGTTTTTATGTGACACTGCTTATGTCTGATCTCTTATCACTGACTAGGCTTTTCCTTGTCCTTTTTGTGTAAATGATCTAATTTAATTTCATTCTGACTGAACCATTAATCTCTTATCTCCTTTTACTACTCTTGACTAAGTATACTTATGCTAATTATAGGTTTGCTGAATTGCAATATCGCATAATACTCCTTGTTTAATGCACCAATCCTTCTTTTTCCTGGCATTCTGACTTTCTACTTAAAAATATAGTATACTTATTGACTGCTTTATAACATTTGTAATGCAGGTTAGAAGAGACGGTAGCAAAATGTCACTCGCTCAGAGTAAAAAATATTCTCAGCTTAATGCGGATAATGCTCAATGGGAAGACCGCCAGCTTCTCAGATCTGGAGCTGTTAGAGGCACAGAAGTGCAGACTGAGTTTGATAGCGAAGAAGAACGAAAAGCAATTCTTCTTGTACATGGTATATAGACTACTACAATTGCTCAAAGTTAACCATGATGAGTTTAATATTTGTAACATAGCAGGTAATATTTTATTTTTTTGGGTAATTGCAGATACGAAGCCTCCTTTCCTTGACGGAAGAGTCGTTTTCACAAAGCAAGCGGAGCCAGTAATGCCTGTAAAGGATCCCACATCAGATATGGCTATAATTTCCCGAAAAGGATCAGGTCTTGTCAAAGAAATTCGGGAGAAACAAAGTGCGAATAAGTCACGACAGCGATTCTGGGAGCTTGCAGGTTCTAATCTTGGTAATATCCTTGGTGTTGAAAAATCAGCCGAGCAGGTAATGCCCTAATTGGTTGTTGGTTCTTTATTGATATTGTGGTTGTTGGACATATTGTGACTTTGTGATCATCTTTGCAGATTGATGCCGATACTGCTGTAGTTGGTGACGACGGTGAAGTAGATTTTAAAGGCGAGGCTAAATTTGCACAACATATGAAGAAGGGAGAAGCTGTGAGTGAATTTGCCATGTCAAAGACCATGGCAGAGCAACGGCAATATCTTCCCATATTTTCTGTTAGAGATGAACTATTGCAGGTTGGTGGTCTTTCCTTTTGATGGCCCTGATAGTTGGATTATAATATGCATTATTATTAGGAAACCTCAGGGGGTTACGCTGTTTTTATTTTAATTTCACCCTTGCGTTAATAATCTGCTTTTAATGTATTCTCTAGGTAATAAGAGAAAACCAGGTGATTGTGGTGGTTGGCGAAACTGGTTCGGGAAAGACCACCCAACTTACACAGGTTGATCCCTTACTGTGGCTTTTCAGGGAATTCATGTACTAATACGTAGTTATGAAACAATTCAAAATTGAACTTATATTCTGTTTCTTTTTGTTAGTATCTTCATGAGGATGGGTACACTATAAATGGTATAGTAGGTTGCACCCAACCCAGGCGTGTAGCAGCCATGAGTGTTGCAAAGAGAGTTAGTGAAGAGATGGAAACAGAGTTAGGCGATAAAATTGGCTATGCAATTCGTTTTGAAGATGTAACTGGTCCAAACACTGTTATCAAGGTAAGGTGTTCTCAAGTAATGAACTGATTTTTGCTTATTTTTGATGTTTCTTGTTTAGTTGGCCTCATAAAGCTTGGCTTAGCATGCTTATAGCATCTGCACTTCATTAAAACACAGATATTTCTTCTGAAACTTTATGTTTCCCTTTGAAATTACAGTACATGACCGATGGAGTGCTACTGAGAGAGACCCTCAAAGATTCTGACCTGGATAAGTATCGGTATGTATGCTTTAACCTTACCTCTGATAGATCATGCTTTGAACTAGATAAATATCGTCGCTAACTCCTTTTGTGGACTCTGTATAGTGTGGTGGTGATGGATGAAGCGCATGAAAGGTCACTCAACACAGACGTCCTTTTTGGAATACTGAAAAAAGTTGTGGCTCGGCGTCGTGATTTCAAGTTGATAGTCACGTCAGCAACCCTTAATGCTCAAAAGTTTTCCAATTTCTTTGGGAGGTAGGTTACCATCATCCTTCACATAGACCAATTTAGAATCTTAAGAAGGAATTGTTATATGACGGTGTTTTTGCTTTGGTAATGCAGTGTTCCTATCTTCAACATTCCTGGAAGGACTTTCCCTGTCAATATTCTCTACTCTAAAACTCCTTGTGAAGACTATGTCGAAGCTGCTGTTAAACAGGCAATGACGATTCACATAACAAGCCCACCTGGGGACATTCTCATTTTTATGACGGGGCAAGATGAGATTGAGGCAGCATGCTTTTCACTAAAGGAGAGAATGGAACAGCTCGTATCATCTTCCAGTAGAGAAATAACGAACCTACTGATTCTCCCAATATACTCTCAGTTACCCGCTGACTTGCAAGCAAAGATATTCCAGAAACCAGAAGATGGAGCTCGTAAATGCATTGTTGCCACCAATATTGCTGAAACATCATTGACAGTCGATGGAATATATTATGTGATTGACACGGGGTATGGAAAGATGAAGGTTTTCAATCCTAGAATGGGTATGGATGCTCTTCAAGTTTTCCCCATAAGTCGTGCAGCCTCTGATCAGCGTGCAGGTAGAGCTGGAAGGACAGGGCCAGGAACATGTTACAGGTTGTATACTGAGAGTGCTTATTTGAATGAGATGTTGCCAAGTCCTGTGCCAGAGATTCAGCGAACGAATCTGGGTAATGTTGTGTTGTTGTTGAAGTCACTGAAAATAGACAACTTGCTAGATTTTGATTTCATGGATCCACCTCCGCAAGAGAACATCCTTAACTCTATGTACCAGCTTTGGGTGTTGGGTGCTCTCAACAATGTTGGAGGATTAACCGATCTCGGGTGGAAGATGGTGGAGTTCCCATTGGATCCACCTCTTGCAAAGATGCTGTTAATGGGTGAACGGCTTGATTGCATAAACGAGGTTCTGACGATTGTGTCAATGCTTTCAGTACCTTCAGTGTTCTTCAGACCTAAAGAAAGAGCAGAAGAGAGCGATGCCGCAAGGGAGAAGTTTTTTGTGCCGGAATCGGATCATCTAACACTGCTAAATGTATATCAGCAGTGGAAAGAGCATGACTATAGAGGAGACTGGTGCAATGACCATTACCTACAAGTGAAAGGTTTGAGAAAAGCTAGAGAGGTAAGATCCCAGCTTCTGGATATCCTCAAGCAACTGAAAATACCACTAAAGTCGTGTGGACCGGATTGGGATATTGTGAGAAAAGCCATCTGTTCAGCGTATTTCCACAACTCAGCTAGATTAAAAGGTGTTGGGGAGTATGTGAACTGTAGAACCGGGATGCCTTGCCATTTGCACCCGAGCAGTGCACTGTACGGTCTGGGATACACACCGGACTATGTGGTGTACCATGAACTGATATTGACCACTAAGGAGTACATGCAGTGTGCTACATCGGTTGAGCCTCATTGGCTGGCTGAGTTAGGGCCTATGTTCTTCTCGGTCAAGGACTCGGATACATCGATGTTGGAGCATAAAAAGAAGCAGAAGGAAGAGAAAACAGCAATGGAGGAAGAGATGGAGAAACTGAGAAGAGATCAGGCGGAGTCAGAGGTGAGAAGAAAAGAGAGAGAGAAAAAGAAAAGGGCAAAGCAGCAGCAACAGATTTCAGGCCCTGGCTTGAAAAAGGGCACCACTTACCTCAGGCCTAAGAAGTTTGGACTGTGAGTCTGTGACATTGTAATGTAAAACAACACCGAAATCTTTACCAAAAAAAAAAAAAAAAAAAAAAAAAAAAAAAAAAAACAGGCAAAATAGAGCAAACTGTAATCACCTTGTGTCTGTGTTCAGATATTTCTTGATGAGAACAATCTTAAATTGTTCCACGCTTGTATTGATTCTTTATCGCTAATTAGTTTGATAACCTCTACATCTCTAGTATAGCAAAGTTACGGTCCAATTTGTATTTTGTCTCTACAGCTCTAAAATAAGCAAATTACAAATCAACAGAAAGAGTCAAAATCCAAAATGGTGTGTTTCCGCCATTGATCATCTGTCTCAGCTGTTTCTTTTCCTAGAGCATCTAGATTCTCAGAAGATGGGTTCCCTTGAGAGTTGAGGGCATGAGCCTCGTTGCTTAGAGTCTAGTAATACACTTTTGCGTCTCCTATGATTGTGATGGAGTGACTAATATATCTTAGGAGCTTTAACAATTTCAATTCCAACTTTCTTTCTTTCTATCAAAAATTAGGAATACTACAAGTTTTCAATACTTTTAACATGGTTAATGTTTTTGTTCTTCTTTTAAGAACTAAGAGGAAAAAAAAAAAGAAAAAAGAACTGACTCCGAATAATGGCTTTTACTACTTGAGAAAAAAGGGTTGATCTAGTAATTAATGTTTCTAATAGTTTACATTAGTAATCCTTCTTAGTCGCTACATCTCATCTTTCTAGAGAGCTGAGTTTTGCCCATCATCTCGTGGTCTCTGCAACATTCTACATTTATATCAAGTCTTATGGATTTTACAATGCTTAAGACCCTAATATCCAAATCCAGTTTTTGGAGTTATGTGGTACACAAATGTCATCAAATCCCCCTCCTAAACAAAATACATTTTGCCATCCATACAAGTTTCCAAATCTCCCTCATCAATTCACATTTTGCCACCACCATCTACAACACCTTTTAGCAAGTCTAATGCTCCGGCTCCATCATCTGCGTTTAAGCCAAAAATCACAGCCACATTATAACTTCCATTCAACACACACATAGAATCCAAAGAGCAGAGGAAGGTGTGAACCTGAGGAGATTTTGGAAGGGCCCTATCAAATATTACCGCTTTCTCCGTCTGATATTTCTTCAAGCTTTGCAATTGCCTCCATAAGAGCTAGTTCATGATCCTATCATTCCCAAGTAAAACTATATAATCAGCATCTCTTTTCATGTACTGTGGAGTAAACGAACAGATTCAACAACACATGTATATGGTTCTTACTCTCAGCACTCTCTTCGCCTTCTCTACCTCTGCTGGGTTGGGGTTAACTGACCCAAAAACTTTTTCTACCTGTTACAAATATACATAAAGATTAACAACTGTGAACATTTATTCCCATATCAAAAAACTTGAATGATTACCTCTTTTATCAATGTATCAGTGTGGAGAATTTCGATTTCACCTAAAGCTTTCTTCCCCATGCCATTCTGTGTCTTAGGTTGCTGCATCTTCATGCTTCCCCTACCTCTACCACCCGCATTGCTAGTGGGACCACCACGAGCCATGGATTTTGAAGTTCCACGGCCTTGCCCAGGATGTCCTCCTTTACGAGAAACGCCAGGATCCTCACCTTCCCATCTGATATCTCCCGGAGATATCTATGATATATATATAAAGAACATTCAGAATCATATATAACCAAGTATCCAAGAATGAGATGAGCTCTTAAGATATAGTTTAACTGTAGAGAATCGAGCACTAATCATACACTTTTGTCCTCTGCCCCTTACTGATGGCAATCAAGAAACTGAACCATTAGATGAGAAACTAACGGATGGGTGAGTTGGTTCTACCAGTTTTAGTCCACAATTTTTTTTAACATCATTCATGATCGAACTTGGGTGGCAGCGAACAAGTAAAACTAATCTATAGCTTCTAGTGTGAAGAGTCGAAATGGATTGCAGTTGGTATAAAAACTGACAAGCCTCTCATTGACGTGCAAGGCATGTCGAATAAAAACCATCGAGATCATAGCCAAATAGAAGAAGACAAACAACACATGGTCTCTCCAAATTTTACGATATAGCATCATCTTCTGTACAACTGTGAAAGGTATAAAAGACAAGTAGAAAAACTGAAATCATAATTACCTCTTTAAGATTTACCCATTCCCAAGTTTCATTCGCAGAGTTAATATCATACACTAAAGCATGCCGGCCCTAATCAATGTTGAAAAAAGGAAATAAATAATATCAGAAAACGGAGATTTGGCATTAAAACACTAATATATAGCAATGAAAGATAAGATACCTCAACAGGGTTGTAGTCAGTTATAACAGCTTCATAGAAATGGTTGTCGTCAGGCCACTTCGTCCATACCTTCCTTCCAACCAATGGGTCATATGATCCCGATTCACCTGGTTCATTTGTTAAAGCACCAGCCTGGGGCCTTCCAGGCATGCCTGTAGGTGGGTACTGCATCGACTTCATCGAGCACAAAGAATGAAATATTCTCATACCTTAGTCAATGAAGAATATAAGAAGAAGATTCACAGTAACAACAATTAGAGTCAAGCAGCATCATGACTTACTGTCTTTGGCTTCTTGGTCTTTGGACCTGGTGGAGGACCTCCCCTTCTTAGTGCAGATGACGATGGTTGCATCGAAGGGTGCAAAGAAGGAGATGGTGGGCCCATCGCTAATGAGGCGATTGACTGTGATGTCTTTTGCTTCTTACGTGATCCTGATACAGCCGGACTCGGAGCATCATGAACCAGCTGAGGAACACTGGACTGAAGGCTGTTTGCCTTTCTCCATTCCCTGACATGATTTAAATTAACCTTGTTGGCTAGAAAGTTGCTTTTGATTGATTGCAGAGATGTATTAGTGATTAATTACATATGAAACCAACCTTATTCGCCTGATCATTTCATCAGCGTTAACCCTTGATAACAGCTCTCTGTGTTCCTCATCAGACACCCGAAGTTCTTTTCTGAGTTCAGTGATCAAACTTTCTTTCTCCTGAATATATTTTTTCCAGACGAAGGAACACGAACAACAAAAGGACAAAAGGTAAGCTTGTGAAGTTACATAAAAATGGACTAACTAATGAAGAAGATAAGCAAAATAAGTACCCAGGTAATAGCATCGGACTGGGCTTTAAATGCGCGGAGTATCGAGCTATACGCTTCTTGCTCAATGAGATGAATTTGAGTTTCCATGTCATTGTGCACCCGTGATAAAGGAGCAGAATTGAGAACTGAAGGCCTTCCATTGCCAGCAGGTCTGGCACTTCGTTGATATCTACCTTGATGAGATGGAGGCAGATCATCATCTGTACCTGAGTTCCCGCAGAAAAACAACATATCACGAAACAGACAGAAACAAATACATTAATACAATCAAAACATAGTAAATCAGTTCGAAGCTACACGAAAAAAGAGTCAGTAAACAACAATGAAGAAGAGAAGAAAACTCAAGTACAATAAGCTTTGAGGAGGAATGCTTCTAACTGAAAAAGCATTGAACACATTTACATCAAAAAGCACATATAATTGTGGATAGGAGAAAGAGAGAGATTAATAACAAAAACTAACAGCATGTTAGTAAAGAAACGGCTAGACTGGATAACATTGAAAGAACATAAGACTCACCACTACTATCAGAAGGTCGGTAATCCATCTGTGTCCTCTCCCGTTAGTCTTTACAGGGAACCTAAGAAATCAAAACGTGGGATGAGAGCTGTCTAGTTGCACCAAAGCACGAGCTGCAAAAACAAGGAAACAACTTCAAAGGAGGAAAAAGCCAAAACATTCACTCTCATGCAGAGCATACGAAGACCTTAACTTTTCAGGTCAAAACAGGAACCCTAAGAGCACGAAAAGCACCAACTATTGAACTTTAAACCTTGACACAGTAAATTACACTATCCAAAACACAAGTCAAAGTTCTTAAACTCAAGCTAAACAGCCAAACATGTTGCCTTCTGCAGATTGATGAGTTTTAAACAACAGAAATCCCAAGAACCAAGAACATTCATTGCAAGCAAACTTAATCATTAAAAAATCGAATTTCTACTAAGTTTCTAAAAAAGTATTTCCAATGAAAGAACAACACTTTCCTAAACCCTAATTTCCGACGAAACCAAGCACATCAATGCGAGCTTTCAAGATGAACAAAACTTAAAATTACGCAAAAAGAAAGTAAGATCATAAAGCAAATACCTTCTTTGGATCTATTCTCGAAAAATTCGATTAGCCATCGAGAAAATTACTCCCTAAAGATCATAGATTTGAGCGAGAAAGCAGACAACACAAATCTATAAATTAGAAGATCCAAACAAGGACAATTCTTGTAAGGAAATCTCTCGGCTCCAAGTCGAATTCACAAACGTAAGATCTCCAGGAAGTAGAAAGAAGGCCGCGGAATTGAAGAATTACAGAAGAAATCGTGATGAATTTTCCGAGGGATCTATGAGTCGCGGACGTGAAACCAACATTATTTTGTGCCCTAATTTTTTCTCAGTTGATAGGTTGGTTTGAGTTACACGAACGACGGCAAGTTTTGTCGTTTCACTCGCATCTTCCTATCTCTTTTGGTTCTGTCTTAAACCCGAATTTTGGTTCACTTTCTCATACCAACACTGTTCGTAATGTCTTTTACTTTTTTAAAAATAAAAAATCATCAAATTTTTTTGAGTAATTCATCTCCAAAAAATGTTAATTCAGTTTTATTTACCGACAAGAATCGATTTTTTTCTGCAAATAAAAACAACAAAATATGCCGACAAAAAAAAAAAATAATAAAAAAAAAAACAACAAAATAGTAAATAAACCGACATTGTGAAATCGATCTGAACCGGAAAAGTCAAAGAATGACGGTTCGGTCCAAAATTGAAATTAAACAAAGTTTCCAATAGAAAAATGTGAACAAGAGAAAAAGGAAGAAGAAATGTTGTTGCGTGTGTGTTGCCCGTCGTCTTTCTTCTACCTCCGACCGCTTCCTCTCTTCAGTTCAACTGCGAAATTCCCTTTTTGTCCCTCTTTTCGCCGACAATTTCGATTAAGCCCTTCTCGATCTTCTTCCTTCGGTCGGATGGAATCTTCTCCGGCTTCGTCTTCGTCTCCGACGCCGGTAACCGATTCGTCTGCTGATACTTTAGCGAAAGATCTGCAAAATCAAAGTCTTGGAGCTGTTGATGAAGGTGGTAAGATTAAAAGGAAGCTCGAAGATTTTAACTGGGACCATTCCTTTGTTAAGGAATTGCCTGGTGATCCCAGAACCGATGTTATCTCGCGTGAGGTATTAATATTTTGTTTCGATCTTCAACGGAGAATCTTGAATTGTTCGATTTGATTTAATCTTGCGATTAAGGAAAAGTTATATTCTGTGGTTTAATCTCGAAGCATGAAGTTGATATTTATACTTGTTGGTAGAGTGGATTATACTTAAGCTAAAGTTTTTATTTTTGGTGGAATTTTCTGGTGCTTATTGCTCATTTGAATACTACAAAATTGAAAGTTCTCTGCAGTTGTGTTCTTTTGGAACACTTATGTGTGAATCTGTCATGTCCCAGTGTGCTCATTATTTTTTCCCGTTTAACTAATCTCGGGCATCTGGACTTTGATTGTTTATTGTAATGTGCAGGTATTACATGCTTGCTATTCAAAAGTTTCACCATCAGTAGAAGTGGATGATCCTCAGCTTGTAGCATGGTCTGAATCTGTTGCAGAGCTATTGGATTTGGATCCTAAAGAGTGAGTTTGATTCTGTATGTTCAAACTAAATTCTGAAGTGTTTGAAGCAGAAGCTAATTGGTTTCCACGTTCTTAGACAGAAATAGCAAGTATTCGTTTTAATTGATGCCATTGTTTCCAATTCACCGTCATGGTTACATTCTTAGGTTTCTTTAAAGAAGTTAGCGCATTTGGTTCATTTCTGTCTCATATGATGTTAATATTGTGACTTACGGCAAAATTCTGTTGAACTTTCAGGTTTGAAAGGCCAGATTTCCCTCTCATGTTGTCCGGTGCTAAACCTTTACCAGGAGCGTATGTGTTCCTTACCCAAATCTGATTTTAGTTCCAATCTTCTTAAATCCAAAGTCTCTATTCTCAGTTATTGATATATTTTTTCTACAGAATGCCTTATGCTCAATGCTATGGAGGACACCAGTTTGGCATGTGGGCTGGACAACTAGGTGATGGACGTGCCATAACTCTGGGAGAAGTTTTGAACTCCAAAGGTGAAAGATGGGAACTTCAGCTTAAAGGTGCGGGTAGGACTCCATATAGCCGTTTTGCTGATGGGCTTGCAGTGCTCCGTAGTAGCATCAGGGAGTTCCTTTGCAGTGAAACTATGCATTGTCTTGGAATCCCTACCACGCGCGCCCTTTGTCTTCTCACCACAGGTCAAGATGTCACTCGCGACATGTTTTATGAGTATGTCCAAAACCTTCCAAACATTTTCTAACTTGTTCCTTTGTTATGTTCTTCCTCTGTTTATAAAGTTCATGTCTCCACCAAGTATATAGAAAATTAGGCTTCATAGGATTAGGAACTGCACATGGGCATGATCGACATGGAAGTGTTTAACCTACTGAACTAAGCCTCTAGTAGAGAATATTTTGTCTATCAAATTAGGATTCTAGGTGGTTGACTAATCTATTGTTTTGCATTGTGCGTTTGCAGTGGCAATCCGAAGGAAGAACCTGGCGCAATCGTTTGCAGGGTTTCTCAGTCATTTATCCGCTTTGGGTCATACCAAATACATGCTTCTAGAGGAAAAGAGGATCTTGACATTGTTAGGAAGTTGGCAGACTATGCCATTAGACATCATTTCCCACATATAGAGAGCATGGATCGAAGCGATAGCTTGTCTTTCAAAACCGGTGATGAAGATGATTCGGTTGTGGATCTAACTTCCAACAAGTATGCAGGTAATTCCCTAATGAAGCATTCGTCAAAACACTGCATGAAACACCATTATTTTCATTTGCTATTGCCAATAGTTATATTAATGGCCAATATTTGAACTAACTCTTCTGCCTTATATTAGCATGGATCGTTGAAATTGCTGAGCGTACAGCTACCTTAGTTGCAAGATGGCAAGGTGTAGGTTTCACCCATGGTGTGCTCAACACTGACAATATGAGCATTTTGGGTCAAACCATTGACTATGGCCCATTTGGGTTCTTGGATGCTTTTGATCCTAGTTACACCCCGAACACGACAGATCTCCCAGGAAGAAGATATTGTTTTGCAAATCAGCCTGACATCGGCTTGTGGAATATTGCTCAATTTTCTAAGACTCTGGCGGTTGCTCAGCTGATAAATCAAAAGGAGGCGAATTACGCCATGGAAAGGTAACTTTGTTCGTCACTACTGATTTGGAGCACTATTCTTTCTTATATTTTAGGAACTACTAAGTAGTTGAGGGACTCGTGATTCAGGTACGGTGATAAATTCATGGATGAGTATCAAGCCATAATGTCAAAGAAGCTTGGTCTTTCCAAGTATAACAAGGAGGTCATTAGTAAACTTCTGAACAATATGTCTGTTGATAAAGTTGATTACACAAACTTCTTCCGGCTTCTTGCAAATGTAAAAGCAAATCCCAACACACCTGAAAATGATTTATTGAAACCCTTGAAAGCTGTGCTCTTGGACATCGGAAAGGAGAGAAAAGAAGCATGGATCAAATGGATGCGAAGCTATATACAAGAGGTATTAAATTATTTTCTTACATTTTTCCCAAAGATTCCACCTTCAGTTCTTCTTAAACTCCAATCTTACTTTCCACAAAGTTACAGTGACACTCTTTATCCCTGTATCTTCCTGGCTGATGCAACTCCTAGCTGTGTGTGGATTTGAAATTGCAGGTGGGTGGTAGTGAGGTATCAGATGAAGAAAGAAAAGCAAGAATGGATTCAGTGAACCCAAAGTACATTCTGAGGAACTATCTGTGCCAAAGCGCAATAGATGCAGCTGAACAAGGCGATTTCTCAGAAGTCAACAATTTGATCCGTCTAATGAAACGGCCTTACGAGGAACAGCCGGGGATGGAGAAATATGCTCGGTTGCCTCCAGCCTGGGCTTACAGGCCAGGCGTCTGCATGCTTTCTTGTTCCTCCTAGTTCTCCTTCCTGCTTTTGTTTTGCCATTTATAGAAAGGAAGAGGATAAAGTAATACACTCTTATATGTGTATGGCTGTAATGCTTTAAAGAAACAAGAAAAACTTTGATGTTTTCTCTATTTTGTTTTTACATTGAATAAAGATTTGAGTACATATAAATTCCCATGAGCAAAGCTCAAGAGAAGAACCCAAGAACCAATATCATCTTGTGCGATAAAAAAAAACTTGTTATTACAGGAAAACTTGATATGGAATAAACAGGTGAGAGGCCATTGGATTAATCTTCTTTCATATCTCATCATACAAGAACAAGACTCAAATTGAGTTTAGGAAAAAAACTTAGTGGCAACTACAGAAGCTGATACTGAATTAGCAAATTCCAGAATGTAGCCTTCAAGCGTCGACCAACGAATCATCTGAGTGTCAGCTCCAAACACAAGCTCTTGAGCTCACATTCTAAGAACAAAGAGAAATCACACAACATAGTCAGCTATAAATAAAAAGATCTAAGCGAAAGCTAAAAACATTTAGCGGCGTACCTCTCGATAGCACGAGGGGTAATGGGAACCACACCAGAAGGTGTCACAAGGGCATCGATCAGAACATCATTCGGTGTTACAGGAATACTTGCATCCTCAAGAATTTGAGGCGAGTATGACAATGCAACTGCAGTAGGGAAAAAGGAACAGTGATTAGCTTATCTTTCTATTGAAAACATTCTGTAGTATCAATTTGATTGTGGTCAATACCCATAAGTGGATATCTCCAATCCTTCTCCTTTGCACGATCCTGGTATCTCTTCAAGAAAGTGTCGTAGTAGCTTTTACCCATACGAGTTATCCATATAAACAAGTAGAAAGGAGAGTTAGATAACAGCAGACAAAGCATATCTAATTGCAATTATAAAACTACATTCTTTGGAGATGGCAAGATTTTGTGTTATGACAGAAGGTAAGCGAAGAAGTGAGACTAATATTGTGTAATCGCTTTGCAAAGTAATACAACAGCAAAAAATGCTTAACAAAAGCTTCTTCTGATGTAATAGTGCTTTTAGATCTTCAGCAGTACCCTTAGTATAAATGTACAAAAGTATAGAACCATAATGGAAAGAAAACTTAAGGTCCATAGAAACCTACCCACCTCCACGACCTAAACGTCGCCCACATCTGTCAAACGCAAGACCTGACCACAAGGATATGAAAATAAAAGTTGATTAGATACAGAGATAAGGAAAAGTTTCGGAAATGAAACAGCTTCTCCATACCTGGCAAGATGAATAAATCGATCGGTTCATCTGCTTGCAACACTGCCAACATCAAAAAATGGTTTTAGTTTCAAGAAGGCAGGCTTGTACTCATTATGTGAAGCTTAATAGTGTTGCAAACGTAGAAAAAAAGAACAGTACCATCTTCACGCTCATTCCCTTGGGCATCAACAGGAGCTGGTTCCAAAATGTTCATCGAGTTTGCAATGAGATCTTCCATATGAGATATGTGCAGCATACGCATGTTGCTGTTCTTATCCTCCACCCAAGGGACATATAGCTTTTTCTGAGTATTTGAATCTAAACAAGAACAAAAATTGCAGAGGAAACTCATCAGAGAAAATGTAGAGGTTTTAAATTTGGTTTGTTACTGGTTTCTCTCAGTTCCCAAACTTATCAAATTTGCATTTACAGAGAAATGTGATCTCATTTGACCAAGTGATTAGTGATTAAAATGTAAAGGGCTTCCTTTTTGAGTACAAAGAGAGCTCAACATTCTTATTAATCTCATGACAAGGAATTCCAAATAGAGATGTACCAGGATTTTGCAGAATCTCAGAGAGGATTTGAGAAGTGTCGACTTCATTGAGAGACTTGCAGCTAATGTAAGCACACAATCTCTTACATGATTTGAACCAGGGAGCTTCAAGAACAGTGTTTTGAATGGACTCATCTACAATCAAATGTAATCCAAGATTAGTATTTTGTTTCGAAAAGACAAAGAATAATGAAAACAAGAAAAAAAGACTGAACCTTGTTGGGTTCGGAGAGAAGGGTCCATGGCTTTTAGGGATTTGCGGACAGTGGAACGCACGACCCGTTTCTGCTTGAAAATGGAATCGAGTTCCTCTTGGCTTTTGCTGGTGGAGCTCATGGCGACGATTGCGGGTGATAATAATCTGAAAACGGGTCGGGTCGGGATCTTGGGGAAGAAGAAGATTGATGATCTTTGTAGTGCTGTCGTGCTGATACAAAAGACGCGAGCTCCAATCATTACAAGTTCCCGTCGAATACCGTTTTTTTTTTCTTTCTTTAAGAAAAAAAAACTGCAGGGAAATTATTCCAAACCATAATTAACCAACCATAAACGACAAAACGTGAACCTCATCGCTTAAGGATATCACTAAGAATAGTTTCGTGAAGTGAAGACTAATGTTGTTAATCCAAAGTGGAAGGGGAGATAAATGAACATTAGAACAAGATTTTAGTAAAACCAGCCTAAACAATCCCAAGATGAGTGGCTCATATATCCAAACATGAAATTGCAAAATGGGCAAGCTTCAAAATATTGTTCTTCCTCTACACATGATATTGTTGTTAAGTTGTATAAAAGCATTGGTAGCCTGAAATCCATAAACTCCAGATATAACTAAATCTTCATCTGTCTTTCAAAGTTTCTTCATACAAAACCAATCAAAGTTACTACACACAAAACTAATCAAGAATCAAATTGTGTTGTGCTATTACCAAAAAAATGTTTAAAGAATCATAGTCTTAGGCACTGAAAGCCAAATTTCATTATCTCTCACAAAGCCAGTAAGGGGTTGTCATTGATACAAAATGATAAGAGATGAAAGAAGAAGAAGAGTGACGAATTCATAAAGTGAGGTTAGAAAGATTTTTAGCTAAAGCTCTCTCCTTCATAGCCATTCGTAAAGCTCTGGTTCTCTCTATGACTCTCGCATCTTCTGCTGATCTCTTAAACACAAAAGCTTCAGGGGATAGACTAGCCAAGAAGCGCTTCTGTATCTCCTCCGTAAGCTCAGGTTTACCTCTCTCAAAATCATCGTTTGCATATTCCCATTGATCAGACTCAACTTTTCTAAACCCCTATATTGCATGAAGATCAAAGACAGTTTCCTTTACTTAACTAATCTTATCAAAAAAAAAAAAATGAAAAGTAGAAAACTTACAAAGGTGTCAAGCTTGAAGGTGAAATTTGAAAACAACTTGCCTAACGAGAATTTGGGAAGAACATCACTGCAAAGCTCAGATTGATTCCATACGATGAAACTCTTGCCGCTCTCGCTCCACGAGATCACTGAATCCGTTAAAGGATCATTAACCATTTCATATAATCTGGTGGGGAAACTACGGTATGGCCTTGAGGAACCTCCAGGATTATTATCACGAACCATCCCTACACGCTTTAGATCTAATAAAATCCCCAGATAGAAAACCCTAGAATCAAATATCCACCACCAATCATAAATTATAAGCAACAAACAGAGTTTATAGAAAAATAAAACAACAACAAAGTTCTTGGAAAAAAAAAAGAAGGGGTCTCGGAATCGAGATCCAACCTGGTGATGTTCGTGCGGTCTATGAACATCACAGATATGAAATTAATAGGGATGTTATAGTGGGTCGGACCATCCCGTATCAATCTTCAAAGACTAGCCCACAATTATAGAAATGATGAAATACAAGCGGGTTTGAAAACAATTTAAAAACATTAATTAAACCGTAATTATACGAGAGGAATTTTTTTTTTTTTTTTTTTTGTACACCATACGAGAGGAATTAAACCATAATATATAAGCGTGGAGCAGAAAGAAGTTTCGAAATCTATTGTATATAACTATGTACAGTGGCGGAGCTAGAATTTAAATTTACCGGGGTCAAAATATAAAAATTTTATTTTAATAAAATAGATGTGGTTGTTTTTTTTCTTCAAATTATATTGCATATAGCTTATGTTTTTTTATTACACTTACAAAAATAATATTCAGATATTTCTAAAAAAATTTGGTTTGTCTAAAACATGATAATTAATATACATAACTATAAATGGGAGAAAACTTAAAATAGATAAAAGCAAAAATAATAAAAGTAAACGATATAGTGAAATACATGTAATTAGATTTATAATAATTAAAGAAAAAAAGTAATATGCTATTGAATTACATGAAAACATTGTTCATAAAATTAAAAACAAAGAAACTTATATATAACAATTAGTGGTTAGTATTAAAAAAGTATGGTTTAAGGGGTCAAAAGAGTAGTTTTCATATTCGGCAATGGGGTCAATTTATAGGAATTTAATCAAATATCTATGTATTTGTTTAAATATGCCATAGTATTAGTTTGATTTTGAAAATTCACCGGGGTCAGTTGACCCCCATGTTTCTATGCTACCTCCGCCACTGACTATGTACCTCTTATTGTTGTTCTTACAGCTTATCCCTCCACTATTTTTTTTCCTATGCTTAACCGAATTTATTTCGGTCTATTTGACGTTCAATGTGTAAACCAGCCTGATTTACGCAATTATGCCAGATTCTAGTGTAATCGCTATTGAGGTCTCTTCATTTCGAAATCTGGATTTGATTTGTTGAAGTGAAATTTTCATCGGATAGTTAATATTTCAAGGTTGTTGATCTTCATTTCAATCTTGGTTGACTGACTCTCAGGTGAACAATAGGTGATATCATTGCGGAGCTAATTGTAGAGGCAAATGACTCTGAACGCTGATAGTCCACAAGAACTTCACTCTGTGTGGGCTCGGGTGACTAGGAGTGCTCATGTCATTGCAGATCTCGTGCAGCCGGCAGTTCCACCAGTAGCTCAGGCAGCAGATCCACAACAGGCGTCGAGTTCAGTCTCAGGTGGCCCTCAGAGCAGTGGTTCGGGTAGTAGAAAGATTTGAAGTTTAGGTGCAATGGGAATTAACTCGTTTTAGACATGCAACTCTTTTTAATGTTTAATGTTGTTGGATTTTATATTTGGAATCATGAAGTTGATATATAAAAAAGGAAATTCACAACAACTCTCTAGAGTACCTATTCTCTTTAGTATTAAAGAACATCTGTCTTCCAAAGTTTCTACATACAAAACTAATCAAGAATCAAATTGAAAAGCTTTGTGTGCTATTACCAAAACAAAAAAGGTGTTAAAAGAATTATAGTCTTAGGCATTGATTTAAAGTCCTTGCATAGAACACAATTCATAAACATAGCAACTTTTCAATAGAGGAACAGACTATCTCTATGATTTCATTGATAAACAAGGATGAGAGATGGAAGAAGAAGAGTGATGAAATCATAAAGTGAGGTTAGATAGATTCTTTGCTAAAGCTCTCTCCTTCATAGCCATTGCTAAAGCTCTGACTCTCTCCACGTCTCTCGCTGCTTTGGCTGCATTCTTACACACAAAAACTTCAGGAGGTACAGTTGCCATGAACCGTTTCTGTATCTCCGCCGTAAGCTCAGGTTTACCTCTTACAAAATCATCATTTGCATATTCCCATCGCTCAGAGTCAACTTTTCTAAATCCCTACAACATTAGGAAGATCCAAACATTGGTTCCTTCAATTTATTCAACCACCAACAAAAGTGAAAAAAAAAACAAACTTACGAAGGTCTTGAAAATTGACATATCGTTTCTTAGTTTGACATATTTGGGAAGAACATTATTGGAAAACTCAGGTTGATTCCAAATGATGAAACTCTTGCCGCTCTCGCTCCACGAGATCATTGAATCCGTTGAAGGATCGTCCACCATCTCATATAATATGGTTGGGAAACTACGGTATGGCCTTCTCGATCTTGAGGAACTTCCGGGATTATTATTATCACGAACCATCCCTAATTGCTTCAGATCTGAAATCCCCAAAACGAAACCCTAAAATTTAAACATCAACAATGATATAAATTAGTTACGCGTAAGGAGCAACAAACACAATTGGTACAAAAAACAACAAGAACAAACTTGTGCAGGAAAGGTCTCAAATTTGAGATTCCCACCTGGTAATGTTCGTGAGCAAACTCTACATCTTCACGGAGCATCGTTACATATACGGATGTTATGGTTGGCACGGGCTGGAACGTATCTCACAATGGCCCATTTTATTTTGGGAAAAACATGGCCGAGCTTGTTTTAAGAGTAAGCCCATTAGTCCACCCATTACGAATGAGAGAGTACATGAAGATATTTATTACTCAATTTTTGTATCGTGTGAACAAGATTTTTCGCTTTCATATGTGCTATAAACGGATATCATGTCATTTTCTTTTGTCACAACAATGCATTACTTGAAATTTGAGTACATACACTGAAGCAACAAACCACTTAAGCAAGCATCAAAATAATAACGAAGAAATGAAGTTTTCGAACCAAGAGCCCAATAACAGCCCCGGCCTACCAAGTCTGATTTCGGGAAGTTGCGATTAAACCCACGGTTAAAGAACTTAATCGCACTACAAACCAAAGCGTCTTTATTTCGGTCTATTTTCCGGTTCATATTGCATCCAGCTAGTATTCCTGTCAAGGATAAAGATAATCATGTGTCCAAACAGGTAAAGTCAGGCCTCGTTTAAACAGACATTCTTCATTTCATGATTAAGGGTTTCCACATTTATAGCATTTTGGTCTCTGCAATTCGTCAGATATTCAACGCGAGTTTTTCTCTGGGTAAGCTCTCATTTTCTCTTTCATGGTGTTTCGTGTATTCTTCTCCTTTCGCGTCGATCGTTCACGAAGTCACGATGATCGTTGTGCTTCGCATCATTTTTTTGTTTTCGTTTTTGTGAAGCATCTTTGGTTTTCTCTAGCTCCGTAGCTTCTGCCATCGATTTGTTCTCGATTTTCTCCATAGATCAGATAGTTTAGCTGTCACTAGGTCTCTTCATATCGAAATCTGGTTTTGTTTGAAGACGCGTTGATTGAAAATCTGCTTGTGTTAAATTTGGCAGTATCCTTCTTCTTAGCAAGATTAATTAAGCAAATGCAGCTGATTTTCATTGTTCTCTTTTAGTTCAATCGCTGTCTAGGGTTTGGGTCTTTCTTTGAGGTTTTGTTGATTTTCAGCTTGCAATCTTTGCACTTAATTTGGTTTGATTCTCAGGTGAGCATGGGTGATGTAATTGCAGAGCTAGTATTAGAGGCTAATGAATTGCTAGATACGACCACAGACAACTGGAATGCCCTTTTGGAGTACTCTCAGAATGCATTTCTACCACAACACCTTCAAGCGGTGCGGACTCGGGTGATTAATCATACGGCTATCATTGTAGATCTGTTGCAGCCAGTTCCAGCGGAAGTTGCGGCGGTAGATCCAGCAGCAGCAAACCAGCAAGAGGCGTCGAACTCGACCTCAGGTGGCCCTCAGAGTAGTGGTTCCGGTAGTGAGGCGTAATTTCGAGGAGAAGAATCTCTACTTCTTGTTTGAAATGACTATTCTTAGACATGCACCCTTTTATGGATTTCGTTAATGTTGTTGCAAGTTTTAGATCTGGAATCATCAAGTATCCTTAAGCTCTATAATCACTCCAAGGTAATTAATTGCAGCTTCGTTTAAACTCTTCAAAACTTAAGCTTGAGTTACAAAAGGTTTATTGTAATCGCACAATGAAATATATAATGCAATCTTATTAAACTTAACTCTAGCAGATAACCACTAGCCAAAAAAAAAAAAACTCAAATATATACCCATGAAATATCCATTGCCAAATAATCTTTTGACCGCAAGTTAACAATATATATGACATAAAGTTTAGAGGTTTATGGAGCAGTTTGTTCTGAAAGATGCCAAATAAGCCAATAAGGGATTGGGATTTGATATAGAAAAGAAGAAGAATATTCATATAAAATATCATTTTTTAATACTATTTTTTTTTCATCTAGAAAGGGATTGGGACAACTTTTGTTTCACACAATCTAACTGGTATTATACATGTTGAATCAGACTGATTTAATTTGGGTGTTTGTTAAGTTAAGATTCTTACACATTCAAATTTAAATTTTACTATTGCAATGGTAAAAAATGAATTGTTTGAATGGTTTACCAATAGCAAAATAATTTATGAATAAAGAGATCTTGAGTTAAATTATCTCCTTCCCGAATCGTGATAATGGGAAATCAACTGTTACATGAGAGCTACATCTTCTTGGTGAGTGCAGATAACTGTTTTTCAAAATTTGAAATTTTGAAGGAAATAAAATTCTGATTCTTATATTTGATTTCGCCTTTGCATTGGGATTTGTTAGGCTTCTTTTGGACTAATAATGATCAATGGCTTGTGAACCAATTAGGCAAACTCGAGATTTCGTATCCGAAACCATCAAAAAGAGAAATTTAACTAGAGCGAAGAAACATGTTGATCACGTTATTTTGTTTTATATAAATTTTATATATAGATTTACAAAAAATATAAAATAATCTTTGATATATATATATATATATATATTCACGTTTTATTTTATTGAATAAATGAAAGAGTGATATCAGAAAACAGAGCATATTAAAACATGGCAAAAAACGAAAAAACCAAAAACATGAACTACAAAGCATCCTCGTCAACCCGCTGGAAGCTCCCTCTCAATCCGATCTTGAAGCAACGACAGACCTCCTAACGCCAGATTCGAATTAAAACGTCCCTCCTTTGTCACACTACAAGCAATATCCCTAGCGAATTGGCTTTTGATGAAGAGAGATTAAAGGTTACCTCTCTGATATATTTAGTGGATATATTTTGCATATATGGTCATTAAAATCAAGATATCTGATTACATGCGAGTTACACCTTCTTGTTGAGTGCATTATAACATATTCTTTTCAATTATTTCACAACCTTGAAATTTCAGAGGAAATAAGACTATGATTCTCATATTTGATTTCATCATTGCATCGAGGTTTGTTAGGTTTCTTTTGGACTTGTAATGATAAATGACTTGTGCATCAATGAGGTAAACACGAGATCAACTGTCGGGTAAACTAGAAATTTGACATCTGAAACCATCAAAAATATTTTTTAACGAGATAGAAAAACGTGTTGATCACGTTACAATCTTGTTTATATAAATTATATATATAAATTTACAAAAACATGTAAAACAATCTTTCATAAATTTTGTAGATCTATATTAAATATGTGGTCATTAAATTCAAGATATCCGAATCCAAAACTGTTTTTCGATGAATTATTTTTTTTACTATATATCCGAAAAAACCGCCATCTATCCGAAAACTAGATTAAACTTTTATTTACATATTCAAATTTGCGCGGTAAACGGGACAAGATATCAAATGATAAATTTCACCATATGTGTGTAGGATTTTGTTTAACAGCTTTCTTAATGTATTAATGGTTTAAAGAAGGATTTTTAATGTATAAAATCTCTTTAAAGCGTTTTTTTGACCAAAAAAAAAAAAAAATGGAAAAAAATAATAAATTCCCTCCAAGTGGAACGACTACGAGGGAAAAATTCAATTTGGCTCCTAAAATGAAAACAAAATTTCACAGAACCGCCAATACGCTTTGGTATTATAAAGAAAAAGCTCTCTCTACTCCAATGGTAATCTCAAAATCGTTCAAAGCAGCTCTCAAATTCTCCGTCAGATCTTCGACTGCGCCGGTGATCTCAAACCATCCGCCAATGGAGAACCCCAAGCGCCAGCGAACAACGCGCCTCGCCGCCAGAAACTTGAAGCGAAAACTCAGTCCGAACACAGATGTAGCGCCAATCGTCACGCAATTTATTGATGTTGACGATGAACACCTAGATCTCGTCGTCGCCATCCGCCGTCACGTTGAGGTTCTTAACTCCTGCTTCTCAGATCCTGATTTTGATCGCGAAGCTGTCAACGAAGCTGCTGCTGATATCGCCGATTTGGCTAAAATCGGTACCGTACTTCTTCGTTTATCCTCTAATCGGTGGTTATATCGAACTCGATTCACTCTTTTTGCTTGTTAGTCTTCCAGATGCTCAAGTTTATGTGCTGCTACTTAGCAATTTTGATCCGATGGATTCACATTGATTTTGAATTCTAACTTGGCAATTGTTTTGTTGTAGATCATAGTTATTTGATTTCAGTAGAGGCGAGACATAGTAGTGTTATTTGTTTGGCTTAATTTAATTTTCGTATCTGTTTGTATAGACGAAAATGTGGAAATCATCGTGGAAAATGGAGCAATCCCTGCTCTGGTGAAATATATGGAATGCCCGTGGCCTTTGGAAGTTGGCGGCGATGTTCCCAACTCTTGCGATCATAAGCTAGAGAGAGATTGTGCTATTGCTCTTGGACTTATTGCTGCGATTCAGGTTAACCTTCTTTCGCTGTTTTTGATGAAGTTGTGTAGTTTCAATCTCTGTTGGAAGTTAGCATTAGAATTTTTGAAATGGGCGGTTTACTGATGTTTGCTCTCTCTGTTAAATAGCCTGGTTACCAGCAGCTCATTGTGGATGCTGGAGCCATAGTTCCCACCGTGAAGTTGTTGAAGAGACGGGTGATATGTGGTGGTCCTGGTGGATGCATGTTTGTTAATGCTTCTATTAGGAGAGCCGCTGATATAATCACTAACATTGCTCATGACAATCCAAGGATCAAAACAAATATAAGGTACTAATATCTGATGATCCATATTGCTTATGGTAATGACTAGCTGTTTTCACTTGACACCTTTTACAAATTCTTTACAGGGTTGAAGGTGGCATTCCACCACTTGTTGAGCTTCTAAATTTTCCGGATGTTAAAGTACAGAGGGCTGCGGCAGGGGCCTTGCGAACAATTTCATTTAGAAACGACGAAAACAAGACCCAAGTATGTTTTTACCGTGATTATGGTTTGGTTAGGCTTATGAGAGGCATGTTTCTCACATAATAAGCAACTGTGTAGATTGTGGAGTTGAATGCTTTACCCACGCTTGTATTGATGCTTCAATCAAAAGATTCTTCTGTGCACGGGGAAGCGGTTGGTTCTTCATCTTGCTTTAGATTGTTGCAATTTGTTTGCTTTGTTCAGTTCTTTCTAATGTACTATGGACTTTCAGATTGGGGCAATTGGAAATCTTGTCCACTCATCTCCTGACATCAAGAAAGAGGTTATCCGTGCTGGTGCCTTACAACCAGTAATTGGTCTACTTAGGTATGCTTATTTTACTTTCTTTCTACTTCTGCTGAAACATGCTGACTCTTAAAAATCTGAAATATGTTTTGTAACTGTTTTCCATGATATCTGCTACAGCTCCACCTGTTTGGAAACACAGAGAGAAGCAGCATTATTAATAGGTCAATTTGCTGCGCCTGATTCAGATTGCAAGGTATGGGCTTGTCTCTTTGTTGTACTATAACCTTAGCATATGTTCTCTCAAACTCAGTTTTGTTTTTACGTTATAACTGGATGGATTCAAACTAGAGTGAACATATTAAACATAACTGGCAACATGTTCATGCAGGTGCACATTGCCCAGAGAGGTGCCATTACACCACTGATTAAGATGCTTGAATCATCAGATGAGCAGGTCGTGGAAATGTCAGCTTTTGCTCTTGGTCGTTTGGCTCAGGTATTTATGTTTCTGAAATCTGAATTAGCATGTGATGTTTTTCTTGCTTCTTGAATCTGACTCTTTATAGCTGATTGTTAAATCAGACCTTTTGTGATAAGAACAAAAATTTTATGTTTTGAATTTTGCAGGACGCACACAATCAAGCTGGCATTGCACATAGAGGAGGCATCATCTCATTACTAAATCTTCTTGATGTGAAAACGGGGTCTGTGCAACACAATGCTGCATTTGCTTTGTATGGCCTTGCAGATAACGAGGTAAACTAGACTCGCAATGAATATTTTTATATACAGCTATACTTTTTGCTTACTTGACATACCGTGAGTGCTTAATTAAATTTTCCGTCAATAGGAAAACGTAGCAGATTTCGTAAAGGCTGGAGGTATTCAAAAGCTTCAAGATGACAACTTTACTGTCCAAGTATGCATTTGACTGCTTATATATGCAAAACTAATCTAATAGGATTTTCAAACTCTAATTGTAAGTAATCTATTTGCAGCCGACTAGAGATTGTGTGGTTCGGACATTGAAGAGGCTACAGAACAAGATTCACGGACCTGTGAGTACCTATTTCTGTTAGAACTTCTGGTTCTCAATTAAGTTTGGCGATGGTTTTAATCCCATGATGTCTCAACCTTCTTAGGTACTAAACCAATTATTGTACCTAATGAGAACCGCGGAGAAGACTATACAAATTCGAATTGCTCTGGCTCTTGCACATCTTTGTGACCCTAAAGATGGAAAGCTAATTTTCATTGATAACAATGGTAAGCATGCATCTCATATTCAGAATTTCTTTTTCTAATAAACTTTTCTGTTGGTTTGTTGTTTCTGATCTATAGACGTATTACTAATGCAGGAGTAGAGTTTTTGTTGGAGCTTCTCTATTTCTCAAGCATCAAGCAGCAGAGATATAGTTCAAGTGCTTTATACGAATTAGCTAAAAAGGCTACATCCTTTGCACCGGAGGATTCAGCTCCTTCTTCACCCACCCAACAGGTAAAAAATCTTCATTTCTTCTTTCAAGCATCAAATAATTTCTGATTTGAGGTCTTGACTTGTTATTGATTGTTATACTGAAGGTGTTTTTGGGTGAAGAATTCGTGAACAACCCTACTCTGTCTGATGTCACATTCCTAATTGATGGTATAACATCTAACCCCATTTATGTTTCTATATAGTCCACCTGTGATAACATTTTTTCACTGACTAATTCCATGGCATATTTTAGGTAAACAATTCTATGCTCACAAGATTTGCTTGGTAGCTTCCTCTGATATATTTCGTGCAATGTTTGATGGTCTTTACAAGGTAAGCTTCTGAATTACGATTGTGGTAATTTATCTCATCATGCTATAATCAGTCAACTAACTTGTGAATTGGTTATAGGAACGCAATGCTCAAAATGTGGAGATCCCAAATATAAGATGGGAAGTGTTTGAGCTTATGATGAGGTTCATTTACTCAGGAAGAATTAACATCACCAAACATTTGGCTAAAGATCTGCTTGTAGCAGCTGATCAATATCTTCTCCAAGGTCTCAAACGTCAATGTGAATACACAATTTCACAGGTAACAAACGCAAAACCGAGATCTTAATTTTTTTTCCCGGCAGAGCGACTAATCTATCTGTGTGTTTTAATAAAATGGACTTTACTTGTGCAGGAAATCTGTCTGGATAACATACCAGAAATGTATGAGTTAGCAGATACATTCAATGCTACAGCCTTAAGAAGAGCTTGCACGCTCTTTGTTCTTGAGCACTTCACTAAGCTCAGTTCTCAATTATGGTATGCAAAATCATTACATCGTTAATAACAGTTTTTGGGAAATTTAACTTCCTTTTACTCATCAAGTTTTGATTGATTTATCTAACGCAGGTTTGCAAAGTTTGTGAAGCAAATTATACCTGAAATCCGGAGTTACATCACTGATATTCTCACCCGGCCGGTCGAAGCTAGCCCACCAACCGTCGTATAAAACATATAACTGGATTCCGGTTTGAAGTAGTTGATTTATTTTATTTAGGTAAAATTGTTTTTCTTTTGATAACCGGTCTGTATTTTGTTACTGCTATATAAACTGCTTAACTCAATAATACCAAAGTTAGCTTATAAATGACTTTTTTGCAAACGGCTGAGTACATCAGACTACAAATGGTCGAGAAAGCATGGCTCTAAAGCGGCATATAAAGTTGCTTAAGAAAAATCAAACTCAAAATGTGTAATGTTAACTGCAACAAGAATTCTTCTTGTTACCTTCAGATCTTGAATGCCTTGAAACAGTAGCACAATGTCTGGTTTTTGTCCCTTGAGTTGAAAATGTTTGAACGAAACTTCACCAAAAACCAATGCACATTGGATATCCATGCTTTGCCTAATCCTTTTTTTGGCTGCATGCATAGTTGCATACTTTGCATAATCTAAGCAAAGGAATAAAATTAGATGTATGTAAGAAAATGAGAAAAACATGGTAGCACAGTAAAAAAACATGGTATCACACAGTCGCACTGACACAGTGAGGAAAAAAAAAGTGACAGAGTATGACAATACTTTATGGGTTTTTGCTTAACACAAATAAAACCCAATAATGAATGAGCTCTCTGAATAGGGCTTTTATAAAGGCCCAAAAACTTGTGCCGTCTACGAGAGAGAGAGTAGCATCGTGGTTCGTAAACATAAGCCGCAAGTCTCTCTCTATAACACCGCCATTGATTTGCTTCCTCTATTTACTCTCGTCACGTCCTCCATTTTTGGGGTATTACTTCTCCGAGCTCACCAAGATCTTGAATTTGCCGACCTCTCAAGGTACTTCTCTCCTCCCAATTTTCACAATTTCCTCCCAATCTCAATTAGCATCGAGTCAACTGTTAAAGTGCGTTTCTTTCTTCATCTGTTTCCTTCAATTTCTGTTAGCTCAGTGCCATTCTTGTCTCGTGTGTCTAAAGTGCGTTTCGATTTGAAGCCGATGTAGGAATCGTTGAAGGATAAATACCCCAATTTGGAATTAGAATTTTCGTAATTAGATCATTTTTTATCTGCGAAATCAATTTATAAATTCTCCAAATTGTTGTGTTGTTCTTCTTCTTAGTTTGTTGAAATTTATTATCCCACATAGCTAAAATCAATGTTTTATAGACCAAATCATTTGGTTGGATCAATGTTTTGTAATCCTTGTCTGAGAAATCATTTTATTTGCTGTAATAAAATCTCTCTTTTACACTTTCATGTATTCAGATTCAGACTTTCAATCTAATTTCTTGGTGTTTCTGCTGGGATTATGTTATATACAAAAGACATTCATGATTCAGGTTTAATTAATCTTGTCATGTTGTTCTGTGTTATTTGTTGGATTTTTAGATTCTTGATGGTAAAAGCATACAGACAAGAGCATGTCTACAAGCATCCGTGGGAGCGGGTGAGTGCTGCTTCGTGGAGGAAGTTTGCAGACCCTGAAAACAAACGCATCCTTTCGCATATCCTTGAAGTCGATACCTTGAACCGGAAACTTGACACTGAGACCGGGAAACTCCACACCACACGTGCTCTCACCATTCATGCTCCTGGTCCATGGTTTCTCCACAGGATCATTGGCCAGGACATTTGTCACTGTGTTGAATCAACTGTTGTGGATGGCAAATCACGTTCTATGCAGGTACCATCGGCTTTTCTCTATGCTTTGATTGGGATAAAGTACTTATTAGTAAATACAAGGCATAAACAACCGTTGATGAGTGATTAGATTAGCTTATATAGCAAGCATTAGAGCTGGTGAAAATTTGATCGAAGGATTAGTTCTGGTAAGAAGTTGCCTAATATGTAAGATAAGGAACTGGTTTTAGTTTTGCTGTGATCTGTTTGATTGGAAATTGATTAGCATGGCATGAAGTATCTGTTAGTAGTTGGAAGGCTAAAACAATATCCATAGATGAGTGTTTTTGGATTAGTTAATATACCATTTGAGCTGGTATAACACTGGAGAAAGATGTCTAACTATTTTGTTTTCCAGTTAACAACAAAGAACATTAGTCTCAAAAAGTTCATTGAAGTGGAGGAGAGGATAAGATATGATCCGCATCCAGAAAATCCATCAGCCTGGACGGTTTGTAGCCAGGAGACAAGCATTCGGATCAAACCCTTGTCGGCTCTGGCCTCAATGGCTGAGAAAGTTGAACAAAAGTGCGCCGAGAAATTCATGCAGAATAGCGTTAAAGGAAGAGAGGTTATGGAGAGGATTTGTAAGTATATGGAAGCAGAATCCGCTCGGATCTAAAGATCCAAACTTCTTAGATTCCAGCATCTTCTTGGTTTGTGATTCTTGAATGTTTTGTAAGTCAAGAAGGCTACGTTTTTGGAGCATGGTAATAATAAGTTTATGGAACAGTTTAGATCAAATTGTTGTTTGTTTCAGCAACTCCTGTTTTTGTGTTAGCACCTGAATGTTGAATTGTGAAGCTTTTGTCCAAATTTTGAATCTAAATCCAGATGGGATTCATTAGAATTAGTGGTTTGCATCTTAATATTGAAAATAAAGGTTTCAGGCTTAGTTACATAGATTTACACGAAGATGGTTACATGCAAATATATTGTGTGTTGTAAGAAAAAGACAGCGGATTACTCAAGAGCTGATGCTGAAGGACTGTGACCTTCTTGTCACTGTTCAAGTCCATCAATGCTGATAGGAGAATTACATAGAAATATGGGTTTATTTTGTTACAGGTTTAAAGCATTGTAAGTCATTTTCTTTCTCCATTGTTTTTTTTTTTTTACTTTCTTGACATTCATCCAACTAACTTTCAGATTCCACCATACCTCAGTGTAGTTTTCTTACACCTTTCGGTGGGTAGACTATGACATCTAATTAACGCCTAACCATTATTTCTCAAATCACTGAAATAATAATTTTCCGTTGTTAGGATTTAATTTGTGTATTATATGCTAATGTCAGTAACAAATTACGCTCAATTTTTGAAAACTTTATTAGAAATTATGAAGGATACAAACTCCAGTTGATCACATGCATGGGGTTTTTTTCAACACACGTAAAACGTATATACTCTAATTTTTATAAATAATTTACAACATGAGCTCTAAGTATTTTAGGCTCCAAATTAAGCTATAAAAGATTTGAGAGAAAGATTAGAAAGAAGAGTAGATTTGCATTTGAGTGAGAATATGCTCGAAGTTTTCGGTGGATTTCTCAATGGGATGCGAATGCACTCCTTCGTAGGTTGTCACGACCACTTCTTGGTCCACTGTTAACCTTTGCACTTGCTTCTTCACGTTGCATCCTCCATATGTGCACCTATAGTAACTCCTGCTCATTTATATGTATAAATTATAAACCATTAGTTATATTTCAAAACACTTCACTTCTCGATATGAAAATAAATGTTTTTGAATCTCTTAGATGAGTAATTAACTATCATATTTGTTCCCAAATCCAAATTTAAAAATTATTTTTACCAAAAAACTTTCATTTTTAATCACTGAATACCCTGATTGTTAGATAGACTAGAAAAATAAATATAAAAAGAAATTAATCAAATCAATTTCCATATCCAAATTAATTAGTTAAGATCAGTCTAGACTAGATGTGAATCGAAAACATATATTCATGGAATCTTTTAGAGGAGTAACTAATCATCAAATTTCTTCACACACAAAAGCATATTTCTATGATTTGTTGACCAAAAGTATATTTAAATGTTCATTAATTATTAGATAGAGAAACAAATATATCATGTATCTCGCTAAGATGAAAACCATAAACTAATCAAACCATATATGCAAACTAGTACTTAATATCAATCTAAGGCTTATGTGAGTGATACATATATATACAAGAGCTAGGTTGAATCGAGATTGGCTAAAGCATACTATGTCTAACTCTTATCTCACTCTTTATATATGTTCAATATTAGAACATTTATATATATATAGCAATTGTAAATAATGGATAATTAAGAAGGAAGAATTGAAGAAGCACCTAGGGAACTTGTTGTTCTTGACGGCTTTTTGGCCATATTTCCTCCATCGATAACCATCATCGAGAATATCCACTTGGCTTCTTGTCTGAAACGCATACCTTTGTTTCTTCCCTTTCTTTTTCGACGGCTCCACGCTTCTCGAACAACCTTCTGATCTAACCTTTGAGCTCTCCTCTAATTCGCCTTGATGCATCTCCGGTTTTGAATGAGATTTCAACGACAAAAACGGAGCATACAACGACCCATTATTATCATATCCCTCCATAATCCTAGTTGTTTGTGGAATCTTTTTGTAAGACAGACCAATCCACCTGAATTCCAAAAGAAGAAGGGTTTTTTTTTTTCTCTTTTTGTTTGATAATTGATTGGAGTTTGTTAAGATATTTTGTGAAAACATATAAAAGTTTAGTCTAAAATATATAGACATATTTATGGCAGACAATGAAGTCAAAGACGAAGAGGCGGCCCGCTGCTAATCGTTAAAGATGGGTAGTGTCGTAGACGACACGTAAGGATTAGGCATTTTACATAATTACATTTGTAACATTATGTTTTATATATGTACCCATAATCTTATTTCATAAAATATATGCATATATCTAAAGGCAATTTTCTCAAGATTATTTACTGAATTTTCACGAGTAATAATCAATGTATATATGGATAAGGATTAGATGATCTATACAAGAACGTATACTATTGAAAGTGCTTCAAAAATGCGCATTAATAAACATTTTCTACTAAATTATTGCAAATTAGACTTATTGGTGATCTGACGTAAGAATCAATTACTCATTCTGCTTTTCACGATTTATTGAAGTAGATTAAAAAGAAGAAGAAAAAAAACGATGCATGAACCGACGTACGAACACAGAATTTTTACTAATGGATTGTGGAAGATTATTACGAACGAACGATCTCTCGAATGACGTCATATACGTGTTACGTTTTTCTTTTATCCGAACGTCATATGAGGTTTACGTTTTTCTTTTTGTCTAACGTCATTTTATCCGTGCATTATAATAAATACAGAATTGATCAATCAAAGTCTACTATCTTTGAATCCACAAATATAAAATTGTTAGATTGGCTCTTAAACACACTACAAGTCTTTTTCGAATTTTGTATATACGAATTTGTCTCTGGACCATCGATTTTTATTGACTAGTTACACGTTGGAAAAAGAGAAGTATAATAGCTTGAATCGGTTCTTCGTTCCATTCCTACAAACAAAGAATAAAGATGTTGATGTCACTATTGGGAGATATGGTTAATACCGATTGCATGATGAATAAATACCTTTTTGTTGGTTTTATTGAATAAATACCAATTGCGTGGATATAACTTATGACGTAAAAAAAAAAAAAAAAAAAAAAAAAAAAAAAAAAAAAAAAAAAAAAAACTTATGACGTACATTGCTATTTTTTTTTTTTTTTGCTTCCTTGGCTTAGTGAAAGTAAATTAATTTTCGTCAGTGAATATTCTTATGTAGTTGAGGAATTTTGGTCAAACTTTTTAATCCTTGTAGAAGGTATAATAAGATCGCGCAAACGTGTTTGATGATTATTCTCCAAGGTTTGAAGTTGAAACCATTTACCAATTATTAATCAATTTCTAATAGGAAAACAAAAGTAGCTCACCATTTACTGTTGTTAGTCCATGTTTGTTTGACCATTCAAAGCACAAAGTAAAAGGAAAAGGTAGGACAATTATCATAGAGATCAAATGTTTGAATATTATAACCCCTAAGATAAATTTTGGAAGACGCACGTGTTCTTTTACAATCTCACTTTTTTCTTTAACATCTCGCAGCCTCTATATCTTTTTTTTGGAAAAGAACATAAAATAATAAAAAAACAAGATACGAAATGCAAGCGGCCTGAGTACCCCTGACACTTAGTCGGAATGCATTCCAAACTCGGGACAGGCAGAGTGGTAGCCCGAATGGCCTAGCCGTTAACACGGTGGACCAGTCCACTATGTAGCACCTCGGTGCGTTCCTACCGGGGCTGACCGGATAGCCGATAGGGTTTATAAAAAAAAAAAAAAAAAAAAACAACTAAGATACAATCACTACGTGGTTGCTGTGTAAGCTTCGGGCTTGTTATGTGGGCCAATATTTGTTGTTGTTGGGCTTTAGAAGCCTTTGGCAGTAGTACAAGTTTATTTCTGGTTTTGGGTGAGAATCAGAGTTATGGTGAGTGGTGTAGAACTAGAAGTTAAGGTTTGTGACAATTTACAAAGAACAGATTTGATTGGTATAACATGTAGCTTGGGGACATTGATTCAGTTGAAACTGTTTAAAGAATTTAAAGAGCCTTGGTTTAAATTTGGTTTCCTAATATAAACGAAACCGAATGTTTTGTTGCTTCATGTTGTAACAAGGTAGTAGAAACAGAACTTTGAGTTCATCTTCTTCATTTCTAGAGTCGTATTCAATTTGAAACTTTGTGTGATCATGATCTAGGGTATTGCTGGCAGACTCCTTGCAAGAATTTTGATTGTCCTTAAGAACCTGCGGACCGACATTCAAACTTTATTCGTAAGGATACTTGACGCTTTTTATTAGGCAATCGAAACATATACATTTGTTTCTTATGACAATTATTCCAGTGATCATATATTATATAAACTTTCAGAATTGCTCAAGAAGAGTTGTCACTATAATAGAAAATATTTATTAATAAGTACTTCAATTTCAAAACACAAGTTGTAAAAACTTTTTTGGAGACCACATAAAAAGGGGTTAACAACAAGGCCGACCATGAGCCCAGGCAAGAGGAGCTTTGGTTTAAGACTTTTAAAATATACAATTGTTTGAAGCAACTTAATCAAAGATATGTTGGAGCAGTTGGTGTAGGTTCCCATTATTGTCACCTACAAACTCTTAAGTTTAATCCTTGCTTCTTTAGTTTTCTTATTGAATCTTTTTTTATTATTGTTCGTGCGCCACAATACATTACTGTGATTGAGGATTATTCAACTTAGCATGTCTGGTGTGATCAACTTAAAACCATATATCATGAGACTTCCAAATACTTTTTAAGACTTTTCCCAAATAGAACTCATATGAAAAGTATATGGTAAAACATAAACAACCGGGCCTTGTGGCCTAGTGGTAAAGGGGTCACAGCTGTGACTTCCGCCACCAGGGTTCGAGGCACGGCCACTGGCAGGTTTACATAGGGGAATTGCCAGCCTCGTGGGATTAGTCCTTGGGCCTAGGAAGCCTTTGGGAGACCCGCGGTTATTCAAAAAAAAAACATAAACAGAACTATATGAATAGATAAATAGATAGAGACACTCTCTCACTATTAAGGAGGATGCCTTAATCACAAGGAAAATATTTGTTGGCCCACCCTTCGAAACAGTCTACCTAATCCACAAACTTTGTTCCTAAGCTAAAAAACAAACATTCTAATAAAAAAAAATCTCAAAATCATTGTACTGCGCCTAGAGAGACTAGAGTCTCACCACCAAACACAAAAATTGCAATTCAAAGAACTTGAAAATGCAAAACATCAACTAACATTGCAATTCAAACAATAATCACATATGTTAGAGAAGAATTTCATAAACAGAAATGGTGGCTAAAACTAAAAGACCTGCATTTTTTCAACCATTAAACATAACCTCAAAGTAGTCATGTAATTTTTTTTAGAGAAAGAAGAAAAAATTAAAGCAAAAGATGAGATTATTTTTTGTTCTATGAAAACAGCAACAAAAAAAAAGGCATAACTTTTTCCGGTCGATGGATGCTTTTAGGCGTTCGGATTCCAAAGCCTCCAAAAATTGGAATTGAACAAACCCAACACGTCCGGCAATACCTTCCTCGCCAATCCCTTGTGTCCCGTCACAGTCCTCGCCGCCGCCGCATAAACCACCACCGCCGATTCTTCTTCCTCTTCCTCTTCTTCCTCAACAACAATCTCATCCTCCGGTTCTCCTTCCGCCACCTCAGCTTCACTCAATCTATCAGGTGACGACACGTGGCTACTCTCGGAAACAGTGGTTTCAGTCATTGGCTCGACGACGGGTTTAGAATCCTTATCATCATCATCACTGACCCGAAGACCCGGTTTATTATTATTATCCGAATCAGTGACCCGACGACCCGGTTTCTCTTTCTTCTTACCTCTCTTAGATTTGTTGCGAGAAGCGGAGTTTTGTTCACCACTAGAGAGATGATGATTCTCGAAAGCTTCGATGATTTCATGGATAAGCTCACGATTCGGCGATGAATCCCAACGAAACCAGTAGTTCGTGTAACAATCGAAACACTCACAATCGAAAACTGGTGGTTTGTGATTTTTGGTAGATTTGTTGTTGCTCTTCTTCTTCGTCTTGTTATTCTTCGAAGAAGAGTTTCCTCTATCGGAAATGGTGGTTCCTCTTGTGATTAAGTAAGCAAGAACTTCTCTTTCTTCAGCTGAGAGAACAGAAACTAGAACCAAAATCGTTGCTGGAAGAAGCTTCAACACAGAGAGAGAATCATCATCATCTTCGTTAAAATGGTTAGAAGAAGAAGAAGACGATGAAGGAGGAGGAGGAGATGGGTAAACTTTTCCTTTCTTCTTCATTTTCATGGTTTTTTTTTTTGTTTTTCTTGGGAGAGACGATGATGATGAACAGTCTTTTTTTTTTTTTTTTTTTCTCTTTGCCTTTACCAATGTCAGTGGAGAGAGATTTATTTATTTTTATTTTGTAATTTATTTTTCAGATAAGGAGAGACCTAAAATAATTATGACTATAGTGTTTTATTTAATTTAATGAAAATGGACTCCAATTATACGGCCCACCTCAGCTCCTTTTTTTCAATAAACCATGCTTTTTCTTTCCATACTTTTTTTCGTGTGTTTCGTCGTATTCTTTGTATACAACTGAAAAGGATAAATCTTACCATATTCATGTTTATTTTTCATAATACAACTGTTTTATTCGTTCAAGTATACGGAAATTTGCTATTTTAAATTTGGTAAAATAATTTAGCACATTATAGTATGTTTTTTTCATATACTACTGTTTATAAAACGTATACGAATCTGTACAAGTCAAGTCAAGTTGCGGATACTAGGGCATAGTGAAAATGTCTTATCAATCTTTATCACTGTTTATTGAAAATGTGTTACAGGGGAAGAAATGTGTTACAGTAAATAATTAATGGAAGCTATTTCATCAGATGTTAAAAACAAAAGAAAGAAGGTTTTTTTTTATTAGTTTTATACATCTACCACTATTGGGTTTTAAAGTATTAATCAAGAAGAATGTGTTAAATACTAAAACAGTTGGATATTGATAAACACGTATTAATCACACATATCTTCTGTTTTTGTCTTGTTATCGGTCTGCATATGTTATGTATGAGTTATGACCACTGAACATTTTTTGCTAATAAGTGTTCATATGGTAGTTATAAATTCTTAATTTCTTAGTAGCAAATCTATTAAAAAAATTAAGCTTTACCTTACCAAGATTCTAAATCATTCATTCAGAGCTGCTCCTAATGATTAGCTTGTCTTCTCACAGATGCTCTTTTTCCTTTTTCAGATTCGTATGGATTTGAGTATTAAATATGTGTTCCTGGGCTATCGGGGTATAAACTTTAGGCCCATGTATATTTGGGCTTTCAAACACAAACCCATCATACTCTGATCACACAATCCAATATTCAGGCCTATTGAACTGAAACTGCATCATCTGTTTGTTTACTTAATAGTGATTTTGATCTATACTTGTATAGATTGTCAAAAGTAAAAATAACATGCAAAGGTTAAATTTCGGTGTGAACTGTGATGTTCGTCCAAGGCTTATGTCCCGACAACTATCCTTGGCTTAAGAGAGCACTTAGAGGTATGAAATATTGATTGTCTTGTCTCTTTTAAAGGTCATCTTGAAAAAACTTGCCATTGGCTTTATTGGGATCTTAAGATCTTCACTGATGACATTCATCAACACAGTCATATTCCTATTTATAGGAACTCAATATCAAATATTTGGTCGCAGTGCTTCCAAAATTTCCTCATTATTTGCTAACAGGATATGTCCATTACAACATTCTCACCTTGGAAACAATGCTCTTTTGGCATTCATAATCGATCTTGCCATCCTTGTACAATCAGATTCACTAAACTATTTTCGATTGAAAGAGTTACTTCAAAAATTATATATGAAATTCACATGAAGATATTTAGTTACTACTACTTTAAATTGATACTATTTTGTACAAGATTAAAAACAAAGACAAAAAAAAAAAACAGTTCTCATTTTATTTCATTTGGTGTACACATTATTAGGAGTTATATCCCTTATATTATAACATTTACTCTGGATCTTTATTCCTACGACTTCTTATCCATAAGGTTATTCATTCAACCAATTTAACACTCGAATAAGCAAAAAAGGGAAGAGCAAAGATTTCCTTTTTACTAGCCGTTACAGGTAAAAAAAAATACCGTTCCCGTACTTTAACGCGCGATTGACGACGTTATTCACGCCGTCCAAGACAAATCCGCACATGTGGCGCAGGTCGCCCCATCCCTGACACAGCTCATACGTGTGAGTAAGCTCTCTCATTGGTCAAATCCGTTATAAAGCTGATGTGTCTGTCTATAATTGGTAATCTACCAAAAAGGAGGCACCATGTGCACGTTAGAGTATGATGCGCCAGCTAATAAAACGACAGGATTTAATTTAAAATAAATAACATTTTTATTATTAAAATGAGAAAAAAAAAAGAAAATTAGGGTTATTGTTTTGAGTGGCGTGGTCCACCGGAACACGGTCAAGCCTCAGCCATTCGTTAGTCAGAAGCGGGTTAAAGTAAACCACTAAGATAACGCCACGTACTATTCCTTCCTCTCCCGCGTTTAGTCTCCTCAGATCTGACCGTTAACTTCAACAGTCGTGTTCTCTCACCTCCCATATCTAGCCGTTGAGCCCAATAACTGTACATTTCTCTCTCTCCTCTCTCTGTTTCTCTCTCTTCTTCTTGCGGTTTTTGTTTGAAAGGAGAGAACGAAGAAGAAGACGACATCTGCAGATTTTGGTAATAATCTTTAAGAAATGGGAAAGCTTTTGTGTGATTCCACGGCGACATTTCAATCTCCTTCACCTACGGTTCCTTGGAGAGAAACTTCAACAGCCGCCGTGTCTCTCGACGATGTGGATCTTGTTGACCAATCCGCGGCTGCTGCGGCGGTGGAAGCGGTTGAGAAGACAATGGCCGCCGCAACTACCACCGCCTGGGATGAGGTTTTTGGATTGGAGGAGTCGCAAAGACGGCATCTGAGCCGGCTTCACGCGAGAGGTGTGTTGTGGAAGCATCCTGGGAAAGATGAATCCTCAGCCTCCGTCGTTTTCCGTCTCTCACACGGCGGAGAGGTTTCTTCCGACGGGAACTGTTTGTTTACCGCGTCCCAGAAGGCTATGGAGGCGCGTGGGATTGACGCGCGAGATCTACGGCGGCGTACGGTGAGGAGGTTTTTGGAGGATTTCAGATCTGCTAGCGAGGAGGAGAAGGAGGTTATTACGGATGCGATTAGGCATATGTATTCGCCGGATCTGAAGAGTGGTTGGGGGATTCATATTGTCCAGGAAGAGAAGTTGTTGGCGAAAAAAGATGAACGTGAGAGTCTAGATTCCGCCATTGAAGAGCTTATACAGATTGGGATGCAGAGGTACTTTTGCTAACTCTAGATTCAGATCTTGTTTCTATTACAAGCTCTGTTGGTAATGAATCTTGATGCTTAAGAATATGTTGAAAAATGATTTCTTTTATGAATATGGGAATTTGGATGCTAATGTAGCTGCATTATTATTCTTCTTATGATTAAGAAAGATTTAACCTTGAGGAGTGTGTAGTGTTTATTGATTACTTTTCTTCATTGCAGAGAAACTGCAGCAGAGTCAATCTACAGAGAGAGGTGTCTTCCTGTGAACGATGGACTTAGTTGGGCAAAGTACATGTCGATTTCAGGCTCAACAGAGGATGAGTATGATATTATTACCTTGCAGTATACGGAAGATGGGTTGTTATCTGTAGAAGAGAACCGAGAAGGACATGCTGCTGCTTTTGGGGATGATATAGCAATTGAATGTCTTGCCACAGAGTTCAAACGAGAAATCTATGTGGTGAGTAGTTATCTGCTTTAACAAGGTTATTATTGTGTTTTCCAAATGACATCAAAGTAAAGTTGTGGAATGTTGGTGTTATATAGGTGCAAGCGCATGGATCAGATGGGATGGTAGAGGAAGAGAACTGTGTGTTCTTCCTTCCTCATAAACCAAGAAGTGAAGTTCTTGAAGTCCCAGTCTTTCTTTTCATGAAAGGCACAGGTAAATAACTAAACACCATTTGATAAGTCTTGTAATTTTTCTCCACATCTATTTGGACTTGGTAGTAATAGAATTCATCTTTCTGGTTCAGGTTGGTGTGGTGGCGGAGCAGACCATTACGAGCCCTTGATTGCGAATCCATCTCCGCTGATATCTCATGAGAAAGTCGCCCTCGTTCTCTAAATTTTGAGCTTCTTCAAAATCACAGTTTTTGGTAGTTTTATTGTTGTGTTGGTAGAGAGAATCAATCATGTTAGGGAGAGAGAGAGAGATGAAATTTGTGCAGGTTATTGGCCTGCGAGTTTAAGCTGTTTTTATCAGTTGTTAGTTTGAGAAGAGGATTTGATTTTTTGTTCACTATTGGGAGATGAAAACGGGAAATTCTCTTTGTCTTTTCAAGAGTTGCGGCTGTAATGTAAGAGTGTAAACTCATAATTTTTGTTTTTGACTTCTTTGAAATGAAAAAGTTCCCCATAACAGAGCAAAATCTTCAGCTTCCAACTATATTTGCATAAACCATAATGATCCTATACGAAAGTAACTAAACAGAGAAAGAAAAAAAGCATCTTTGAGAAAACGTATATTCGGAGAAGTCTTATGAAAAAGAACAGAAAGAGAAAGAAAAAAGGTCCACTTGAGAATTGAATATTATTTTGTGCAGACGGCCTTCACGTAGCCATACCAGCACACCAGTGAGCAATTTTAAGTAGACAAAAAGACTTCTTAACCTTTGGGAGATCTCAAAAGGTTCTCTTATTTGCAGTAATGCCCCTTAAATCCTTTTCGATATTTCTTATGTTCTTCCTTTTATAACTAAATTTCTCATCTTTAGCCACTTAATTCTCTCTGGAGCTGTAAGTTTGACGATGGCGTCTTTCTCATCCTCCGTCAGCTCCCGATCATATTGTTCCGGCTATTCGGCTTCTATCTCGCCGGTTGACGGTAATCATCGACATCGATCACTCTCGTTCCTGTCTGCTTCTCCTCAAGGATTGAATTCTCATGACCTGTGTGTTAGATTCCAAAGGAACTCTGGTCGTGCTTCTGTCTTTATGCAAGATGGTTAGTTTGATTCTCTCTTTGTTTGTTTTCAGATAGAAATTGACCAAATCTAAAAACAAGCTTATTACCTGCATTGAATCTCTGTTTCAATACTCATGGATTCGGTCGCTGAATCTGGAAATTAAATGTGATATTCATATCAGTAGTAGAGGGGTTGTTCTGACATTTAGATTGGGTTTTAGGTGCAATAATCGCCAATTCAAATTCAGCAGAGAGTAAATCTTCTCTTAAGGGATTGAAAGATGAGGTGCTATCAGCTTTATCTCAAGAAGCAGCCAAGGTTGGAGTCGAATCTGATGGTCAAAGCCAGTCAACGGTTAGTATCACGGTGGTTGGAGCCTCCGGTGATCTTGCCAAGAAGAAGATTTTCCCGGCCCTATTCGCCCTTTACTATGAAGACTGTCTTCCTGAGGTATTGCCAAGAAGATAAATTCTTCTATATGATTGCTATTTTGAGTGTGTGTGTGTGTGTGTGTGTGTGTTTTGCACACTAAAGTCTAGTGATTGACAACTTGATATTGTTGTGTGGCAGCATTTTACGATATTCGGTTATTCTAGGAGTAAGATGACAGATGTTGAACTTAGAAACATGGTCAGCAAAACCCTTACCTGCAGAATTGATAAGAGGTTAGCAATTGCAGCTCCTGAAATTTCCGGTTTTAGTTTAAAGACGGATTCTTTTCTCGGAGCTTGTCAAGACAAGTCTTTATGCTCCTATTCAGTTGGAGATGGTTTTGTTAATATTACTAACTTCGAGTATTATGTCATTGTTCCATCGGGATTTCAGGGCAAACTGTGGTGAAAAGATGGAAGAATTTCTCAAGAGATGTTTTTACCATTCTGGTCAGTATGATTCTCAAGAACATTTTACTGAATTGGACAAGAAGCTCAAGGAACATGAGGTATTGATGTGTTCCACTGCCATTTGATCTTTTCTACTTTCGGCTTCTTTTCGACCGTATTGCATTGATTCCTTATCCTAATTATTTTCTGCAGGCTGGAAGAATCTCAAATCGCCTCTTTTATTTGTCTATCCCTCCAAATATATTTGTTGATGCTGTGAAATGTGCAAGCACATCTGCTTCATCTGTCAGTGGATGGACTAGGGTCATTGTCGAGAAACCTTTTGGTCGAGATTCTGAAACCTCTGCTGCTTTAACGAAATCCCTCAAGCAGTATTTGGAGGAAGATCAAATTTTTAGGTGAGAGATATTGCACAACTTTGTTGTTGTAATGTTGATGGTATTGGATGCTCTGCTGATATGATAATTAATTGTCTTCTTACAGGATAGACCATTACCTAGGAAAAGAGCTAGTCGAGAACTTATCTGTTCTTCGATTCTCAAACCTTATATTTGAGCCGCTATGGTCAAGGCAGTATATAAGAAACGTGCAGTTTATATTTTCTGAGGATTTCGGCACTGAAGGACGTGGAGGGTATAGTGCCTGTTTACCATTATCTTGCAATTAATGTCTCTTCTGTATTGAAAGCTTATGTTTCCTTCCTGTTCTCTTATGCTTTAAATTCAGGTACTTTGACAACTACGGAATAATAAGAGATATAATGCAGAATCATCTGCTTCAAATCTTAGCCCTCTTTGCCATGGAAACGCCTGTTAGTTTGGATGCAGAGGATATCAGAAATGAAAAGGTATGATAATTTCTTTCACTTTACAATTTGGGTTTGGTTCAAGAAAACATATAATGAAAGTCTCGTGCACAATTCAGGTTAAGGTGTTACGTTCAATGAGGCCAATTCGAGTTGAAGATGTGGTAATTGGACAATACAAGAGCCACACAAAGGGAGGAGTCACATATCCTGCCTACACCGATGATAAAACTGTACCAAAAGGTAGTCTGACTCCGACATTTGCAGCTGCTGCTCTTTTCATCGACAATGCAAGATGGGATGGTGTCCCTTTTTTAATGAAAGCTGGCAAAGCACTACACACCAGGAGGTAGATGCCTAGAACTTCAAACTTTTGAAATTTTGCATATTGACATTTACTGATAAGTAAAATTACAGTGCAGAGATAAGGGTGCAGTTTAGGCATGTTCCGGGGAATTTGTATAACCGGAATACTGGTTCTGATCTTGATCAAGCTACAAATGAGCTTGTGATCCGTGTCCAACCAGATGAAGCAATCTATTTGAAAATCAACAACAAGGTCCCTGGTTTAGGAATGAGATTAGATCGCAGTAACTTGAATCTTCTATACTCAGCAAGGTATTCAAAGGAGATACCAGATGCATATGAGAGACTTCTGCTAGATGCAATAGAAGGAGAAAGAAGGTTGTTCATAAGAAGTGATGAGCTTGATGCAGCTTGGTCTCTATTCACTCCATTGCTTAAAGAGATAGAAGAGAAGAAGAGAATCCCTGAGTACTATCCTTATGGTAGCCGTGGTCCTGTTGGTGCTCACTATCTAGCTGCTAAGCACAAGGTGCAATGGGGTGACGTCAGTATTGACCAGTAAAACATATTCTCTGTTTGTGTTATCTCTATTTTTACATTGATATAGATTTATCTAGGATTCAAGCTTTTTCTACGCCTCTTTTTACAGATTTAATTGGGCAATTTGGTTATGTACCATTTAAATAAATAAACCAAAGGGGTTTCTCTTATTCTCTTCAAGAAAAATGTCTTTTATGTTGTGCTCTTGTAGCGTTCAGAGATATCTTGTATCTAGAAAAAGAAAAGGTTGACCAAGAAGAAAGAACACTAAAATACAAGCATGTGATAGGTACAAGTAAAAGTATTGGTCATTAATCTGAAAGTGGACTTTATATACAAATTGATCTGATATATAATTAAAAAATCCGCTGTAGCACACAGGTTAATTTCACTAATGAAAATGAAATCCGGGTTCAACCCCGGCAGCGGAATATTTTTTTTAATTAGTTATTGTTTTGAATAAGAGATTGGACTTTAAATACAAATCATTCGTATAAATATTCAAAAAGTCCGCTGTAGCACACATGTTAATTTCACTAATGAAAATGAAATCCGGGTTCAAACCCCGGCAGCGGGATACTTTTTTTAATTAGTTATTGTTTTTAATAAGAGATTGGACTTTAAATACAAATCATTCGTATAAAATATTCAAAAAGTCCGATGTAGCACACAGGTTAATTTCACTAATGAAAATGAAATCCGGGTTCAAACCCCGGCAGCGGAATACTTTGTTTTCTTAGTTATTGTTTTTATATCTGCACAATTTGCATAATCGAGTCTACTCTTGAATCTTGAGATTTTGATCTTAGTATGCCCATGCCGTAGCCCGTATGCAACTGAACCGCTATAACACATTGGTTAATTTCAAAACAAACCAATGAAATGAAATCTGAGTTCAAGCCTATTTCTTTCTTAAATTTTTGGCAGGTCAGGAAGAAGGGGATACAAATCCATTACACAAAAGAAAGGGTTGTAAAATGCAAACACAGGCTCCATCTCATGTCTACAAGGTTTTGGTTAATGATCTTACTTTTAAGCTTCAGACATTGGAAGTTGACCACAGTCTGCTATCACCACTTTCTTTCTGGGACGGTCTCCTCTGTCTGTCTCTTGTTCCTCTATCAGCTTCACCACTTCCATTCCTTCTATTACTTGCCCGAACACCACATGCCTTCCGTCCAACCATGACGTCTGTCCACATCATTTTTGCATATTAATTTGATATACACTAAACTTCCCAACAAAGCTTGGATGGTAGTATTCTTAGGGATTGTTGATGCTCGAGGATGATAGTGAGTGAGATTCTTGCCTACTTATAACTTCCAATTTAACAATAGGACAAAACAGAGGGAGATTTTACCTTAACAGTGCAGATAAAGAACTGACTTCCATTTGTATTAGGGCCAGCATTTGCCATACTCAGAACTCCTGGTCCGACATGGGATACTGCAGCGTATTGCACATTATTACTTTCATGAATTTTATAAACTGAAGGTTTGGTATATATACTCAGCTCAATAAACAGAGAATGCAGAAATGTTTAGTTAAAATGCATTACCACTGATAAATATGAATTCCAAAGCACAGCTGGGGAGAATGAAGAAGAAGGAAACAAGTGAAAAAGGATAGACTTACACTTGAAATTCTCATCCTTGAATGTACGGCCATATACACTTTTACCTCCAGTTCCCTGCTCAACAATTAGACTTCTGTATCATTATTATGGAATTATCCTAGCACTAGAAGGACATTCGGTAACTGAGATGTGCAGAAACAGAAGATAACAATATATTTCCAATGAGGCATGCAGAAAAGACCCACAGCTAGCTGCATATCCAAGAACCAGTATATAAGTTCCCTACCACACCTATTCAAGCCCAGGTATTAGTTATATAACAAAGAACAAAAGTCTAAGATTAACAAGGGTAGTTGTTCTAAAGCCACTGATCTACAAATCAAAGAGCCAGCTATCAGAGATTGTCTGTAGAGAGATTGTCATAGCTCAGACTTTTTCCTACTAATGTACCCAAACATGCACTTTTCAAGAGCGACTCTAAATCCGCACAAGTAAAAACTCAAGCATCCTTCCTTATCAAGCAAGATTTGACTCATACTATGTACCACATCCAAGAAATTAATATACATCCTGCCATCCTGATATGAGTTAACATTGAGATTTGGCAGAAACTACATTCTACCCACTGTTATTAACATATGGAGTGGGATGATTCAAGGAACTCCATGGAAGTCAGAAAGAGTTTTTTGGATAGGAGCAAACTTGGCTCATTCTGTCTTTTAAATAGCTCAGCACACACCCAGTAATGGATGGTCAATTTTCTGCTTATAAATTCGAGATATGCAATAATGTGAAGAATATTTCCTTCAAGAGATGAACCAAAGTAGATTGATAGAAACAGAACATGGACCCCAATGAAGCTAACAAAAAATAGAAACTCGTGATGTCAAGGATACAGCCAGAAAAACTCACATTCCCCTTATCAAAGTCTCCTCCCTGAATCATGAAATCTCTGATGACACGATGGAATGTAGAACCCTTGTAGCCAAATCCCTTTTCACCTGAGTAAGATCAATCACAGGATTCAGTCCCCCACTGACATAAACCACAACTTTTGCAAACGAACATGTTGGACCTACCTGTGCATAGCGCACGAAAGTTCTCGACAGTTTGGGGAACATCATCACCATACAATCCAATAACAATCCTCCCAGCTAACTTCCCCACTGGATTTCCAACACTTATATCGAAATACACCTTGTGTGTTATTTTCGATTGAGGTTCCGTAACAATCTGAAGAATACAAAATCCATATTATATCATAGCTTTTCGTAAATCTAATGAAAAAAACAACCCTAGAGTAAGCTGAATGAAACAATCAATTCCAACAAATGACATCAGCGGCTCGATGAGAGAATCCCTAACTAACCTCAGAATTGGATTGAATCGAGAAGCAGCGGTGGTTTCTTTTGGTAGAAGACGTGTGAAGGAGGAGCGATGAGGCGGATAAGGGAGTTGAAGACGAGAACGAGATTGAATCGAAGGAAGATTTGGTGCGCAATCGGAAAGAGGTAGATGTAAGAGCGGAGGTATTGATCGGAGAAAGTCTTCGTGGAGCAGCTGAGAACGACTTCGGATTTGACTATGATGATACCGAAGATACGAGCATGAGAAGAAGAAGCGGAGAGGTAAAACAAAATCAGAAGTATAAAAGGAAAAATAAAACGCACCAGAGTCATCGATAAAGCCGCCATTGGAGCTCAAAACTGTTGCTCGCGTTTGTTGGGGAAAAATAATGGTAGGTGAGTGACGACTGACGACTGACGACGATGAGTGATATAGCACGAAAGAGTCGAGAGAAAAATAATATTCGGTGGTTAATTTACAGTTATGCCACTGCCGGTTACGTGGCTTCGCATCGAGTCCATTTTGAATGGGTCAGGTCAACGATCCTATGCAAAGTGCAAAACATATATAACAAACCCAAAAGCCATTCCGACTAAAGAGAAAACTCATCGTATCAAAAATCAAAATGACACTAATCCAATAAAATACAATTACAAATCTATAAAGTGTGTTCACTATTTTCTGATATTTATTTAGTATAAGAAAATCAAATCATAATTACAAATCAATAATAATTTTTTAAAAACAAACTATGCATCGCGCGGAAATTAACCTAGTCATATAAAAGAAGATGATAAATTGACGCATTTGCTTTAGGCGTCAAAAAATCATATATAGTAAACGATATCAATTTTTGTAAATGGGGTGTAGTTCAGTTGTTAAACTTAGCTTAGTGCGGTGGTCAATTTTGCATACATGAATTAGTAACAAGTTCAAATCTCAAAACTGATAATTTGTGATTTAAAAAAAATGGGCTTTTAAAAAGTGGATTAAAGACCTTTTTTCTGTTGGCAACAAAATTTATTGGACCAACCCTAATAGAAATACACGTGTTGAACTTGTATGTGTTTTCATTGTGTTTTTCTCGAGAGTATCGTTTTCTTTAATTTAATAGAAATTTCTAAAATAAGGTCATTTATAAAAAGTTGACCAAAAACAAAAGAATTGGTAGAAATTAATGATTGATAGTAATATAAATATAAGTTTTCATGGACAACCCTAAATCACTCACTATACCTTTTAATTTGTTAGCCACCGACCTTAGAATCGCTCAAGTTGTTTTGCTATCTTCTCAAGATTGTCAGAAATCCGAACATTGATTCTTGTTTTTCCGATTTCAGGTTTGAGCAAAACATCAAAGTTTTATCTTTTGTAAAAAACTGATTTTTTTTCCTTTTTAGTTAAAATATTTTAAAATCCAACTTCATGTTTTAATATCTATAACCTCTATTTGTGATTCAAAATCTCTCTTACAATTTTCAGAGCATTGCAATATTGTAGGATGGCAAATTTTTATTTGTTAGAATTTTGAAAAAAAATTGGAAATTTCTTAGAAGTCACAAATTGATTAATTTTTCTGATGACCAGCTCTAAAAACAACAAATTTATGTCAATCTAAAAAGTAAAAAGTAAAAACTAATTACCCGTGTTATTTGATAGCGCAGATGGGCCTGTGAACGTAATTGGGCCCGGGAAGCTGGACGGTTTATTCGTAAGTGGCGCCACTCTTTTTCTATAAAGACGCTCCCACTACTTGAAGACTCCGAGTCGTGTCTCACGTCTCTCTCTCTCTCTCTCTCCCACTTCAAGCTGCTTCAAAACCCTAGAAGCTTCTACTGCAGCTAGGGATTCTTCTCAAATCAAGCTCAACAAACCGCTGTTATTAATCGGAGGCATGGCCGAATCTGGCAGTACTAACCCTAAATCCCAATCCGTTGTTCCCGATTCGGCTCTCGGTGGACTCAAGAGAGATTTAAGAAACTATGAGGACGGTGATGATACTAATAACTTTTCTATCAAGAAATCGAGGACTACAACGATTGAGAATACCTCTCAGGGTTGTAAAAAAATCGTGCCTTTGGATGTGAAACCATTGGCGATTGTGGAACCGGACACTCCAAAGCTCTCTAGACAGTTTTGGAAAGCTGGCGACGACGATGAAGCTGCGCCTGTGCCTCTTTATTGTAATTGACACTTTATCTCGATCTTAAAAGAAAATTTGGGATCTTTCTTGCGATTTGAAACCCTAATTTGTGTGAATTGTTTGTTGCATGCAAGTAGGTAGCAATGATGCGGCCGTTAGGGTTCATCCTCAATTTCTTCATGCAAACGCCACAAGCCACAAATGGGCTCTTGGAGCTTTGGCTGAACTTCTAGACAATTCTCTTGACGAGGTATGTATATATTTCATCTTTGTTCAAAAAACTGATACTTAATTTTTTTCCATATCAGTCAAAGTAGCAAGAAATAGTCTTTCTTGGTCAATTTGTTTTCGTTAATTTATAGATTTTGAAACTATGTATAGAATTGATAGTTGGTGTGGTTTTGTATAACATAAGTTTATGTTTGATAAATTGTTAACGCAGGTAAGTAATGGGGCTACATATGTTCATGTTGATTCGACAACAAATAAAAGAGACGGGAAAAGCAGCATTCTTATAGTTGAAGGTTAATTAAACTTCTGAGTTCTGATGATTAATTATAATCAATGCTTTTTAAAAAATGATTGTAAAACCGCTAACTGATTCGGCGGGTTTTGCAATGCAGACAATGGAGGTGGGATGAATCCGAGTACGTTTAGAGAGTGCCTTTCTTTGGGGTATTCAAGGAAACGCAATCTGGCTAATAGAGTTGGTCAATGTAAGCCTCTCAAATTCATCATCTTTAGTTTTAGCTTTTCTCTTAGCATTAACTAATCTTCAAATCTATAAAACAAATAATGAAGATGGGAATGGATTCAAAACTAGTACAATGAGGCTTGGTGCTGATGCAATTGTCTTCTCACGTTGTCGAGGAATCAATGGAAACAAGTGAGTCATTTCACAACTTCATTATAGTTCTTAAATTTTTCTGTTTTCGTATTTTCGAGTTTAACCGTGTGTTTCTTATCACTGTTTCAGTCCGACACAGAGCATTGGTATGCTATCATATACGTTTCTTTACGAGACAAGAAAATGTGAAGCAATTGTCCCCACGGTACAAATAAAATTATTTCTTGTGTATATTGCACTTCTTCTCAAAACATCAAGTCTAAAACTTTGGTTTTTTCCCTCTGCTTAGATTGATTTTGAGTTGGTAGATAACAAATGGAAGGAGATAGTTTATAACTCCACAGAGGAGTGGGTTGATAATTTAGAGACTATAGTGAGGTGGTCGCCGTATCTATCCCAACAAGATTTATTGGACCAGGTTTGTTATATATCCTTTATTTCGATCACAAAACTACTTTTTATTTTGTATCTCATACTTGTTGAATGGTACAGTTTAATCACCTAGAAGAACAAGGTACTCGGATCGTGATTTATAATCTATGGGAGGACGATGAAGGGAAGTTGGAACTTGATTTTGATACAGATCCTCATGTAATGTCACTACCAAGACTTTTTTAATACAGTCAATTTGGGAATATGTATGTAACAAATGCTGATGTCTACAGGATATTCAACTCAGAGGTGTAAACAGAGATGAGAAGAACATCGAAATGGCGAAAACTTATCCGAATTCAAGGCATTTCCTGACTTATCGACACTCACTACGTGTATGCGGTTTCATGTTTCTTAACACAATTCAATCTGTTAATGCTTCTTCTTCTTCAAGTATTCATTAACCAGTCCCTGTATTTTACTTTATGTAGAGTTATGCATCGATTCTGTATCTCAAACGTCCGGATAATTTCAGAATCATTCTTCGTGGCAAAGATGTCGAATATCACAGCATCTTAGACGACATGATGATGACCGATGAGAAAACATACAAACCTACGCGATCTCCAGAATGGCCAGATCAAGACGAGGTAATATAATACCTTACCTTGGTGTCACTTTTCATTATCTTAAAACAATCTTTAAATTTCTCTTATGTTTAAAAAAAAAATTCAGATGGTTGCTTCTCTAAAGCTTGGCTTTGTGAAAGATGCTCATCATCACATCGACATACAAGGGTTCAATGTTTACCATAAGAACCGGCTTATCAAGGTGACTTATAATAATCCACAGATGATCTTGTCATATAGTTTCTTGTTGGTTATAATCTTCACTGCATTGTATAAATTTCTGCTTGTTTTTTCTTCAGCCATTTTGGAGGGTTTGGAATGCTGCTGGAAGTGATGGACGTGGCGTTATTGGAATATTGGAAGCTAATTTCATACAACCAGCTCATAATAAGCAAGGTTTTGAGCGAACCGTCGTTCTTTCTAAACTCGAAAACCGATTGATCCAACACCAAAAGAACTATTGGTAATAGTATATATTCTCTCCACTACGACTAGACCTGAGGTTTTTTGGACTTTCTCTTAAGTTATTATCTTTTTGTTTGATAGGTCTTCAAGATGTCACGAGATTGGTTATGCTCCACGAAGGAAACAAAAGAATTATGAAAGTAGTGTTACAGAAACCAGTCGACCTTTCAATAACATAAACGTTGTTAGGGCATCTTCTTCTACTCCAGCACCGGCTCCATTCAGGACATATGTTGAACCATCTGGAAGATATCAAAGCCCTCAGGTTGGAAAAAAGCTTCTTTTAGTAATCATTATTTGTCATAATGTTTGAATCTCTAATCAATCTTGCTACAAACTAGGTTGAAACACGAGAAAGGAGTTCTGACATAAAACCTCAGATCGGAAACCATGGGCTTGGGACAAGGTTTTTTTCTTCTCTCTGATGTTTTCTCTGATTCTGAAATAATTTCGGTACTCTTTTAATCTGAATTCTCTTTTATACAGTAGTTTCAAAGAAACATGCTCAGTTAATCTAGAAGCAGAGTTGCAGAGGGTGAAACAGGAATCAGCAAAACTGGTCTCTGAGTTAAAGAGAGAAAAAGCACTACTTGAGTTGCAAGTAAACCTTTAATTCTTACAACATTGTCTTTGTTAATTTTTTGGCGATAATGAATTACATCGTTTGATATAATATGAACCAGCTCCAGGAGTCGAAAGCTAAGATTCAAAACTTGGAAAAGGCGCAGAGAGAGAAAGAACTGCTTGAGTTGCAAGTAAAGCTGTTTTTTATCTTACAAATTTCTCTTTTAGGTTCTTGGCGATATATAATAAATGTCGTTGTTTAAAATGATGAACTCAGCTTAAGGAGTCAAAAGCTAGGATCCAAAACTTGGAAAATCGGCAGGAGGGAGTGAGTACTATCTTTCAGCAAGAAAGAGCCCGCAGAGATGTGACTGAGGATGCCTTAAGGAGGAAACTACGGGTTAGTCCTTTGTAATTTTACCATATAAGACTTTTATTTAACTTATCTCTACGCATATACTCAAATGATTTTGTAATGCAATAGGATGCTTCTGATGTCATCGATGGGCTAAGGAAGCAAGTGGAGTCCTTCAAAGGAAAACGGATGTTGTAAGCACTGAAGCACAGTTTCAAGTGTGTACGTACTCTTTTCTAGTTTGTTTTTTTTGGTTTTAAGTTTTAAGGGTTGTACATAAACTTCTATCCTTAAGCAGCATGTAAATGTATATTTAGTAGACTTTTGTGAAAGACCCAACTCAAAATGTAAGCATGCTGTGTTTTTTTTTGCTAATCAAACCACTAATCAAGGTCAAGCATGCAATCTTATATCTTATATCAAATCCATCAAAACTGTCCTCCTTAAACCAATTCTTAATCTTCTGTAACTGAAGAATAATTACACATTAGTAAGTAATCAACCCACAAAAACACATACAATCAACCCTAAACAGAGGTGATCACCAAGAAAATTAAAAACAGAGGAAGCCAAATGTGGAGGTAAATGGAAGCATCTGGTTGCCCCTAAGGATTATGATCTCCTGGAGGAAAACGTGGAAGATAAGGTATCCAAGTGACCGGATTTTTCCAATCGAAAGCCGGCAATGCCGGATTCGGGTTTCCGAAAGGTAGAAAAGGGAAAGGGGAAGATGGAAGCGGCTGTAGAGTCGGCAATGGAGGTAGATCCGGATACGGCCAAGGGAACCAATACGGTGCCAAATAAGGCCAGAAGAATTTCGAATCTCTAACTTTCTTCTCCACCTTCTCCTCCTTTCGGTGATGTTTCTTCCCGCCGTTTCCACACAATGATGTGTTTTTGTGGGAAGGTTTGTAGCTGAGTGCGCTTAAGCTGTAGATACAGACACGATCTTGCTTTGATTTGATGGATACTTCGTTGGTTGCAGTTTGGAAAACGGGGATGCTGCAGCCTCCATTGTCGTCGTCGGAGGTTTTGAGTAGCTTGGCGCTGCATTGTGATGCTATGGCGATTCCGTCGACGCAATCGATGCCATCGACGTGAGGAATCTCGAGCTTGTACACGCCGCTTCTGTTTGTTGTTCTGTTTACTGATATGTTCACTTCCTCTGCTGTTTTTGGTGAACTTGCTCTGAATCTACAGGTCACATGAACTTCCACACCTGAGAGAGAACAGAGAGTGGCTTGACCAAACCGAACCAAACCGGAATTGTACTGACAAACCAATCTCAAACCAAATCAAAGATAAGATAAAGCTGATTCGGTTTTGTTTGTTCTATTTGTGACCATGCAAGAAATAGCTTTGTTTCTGAGAAAGTGTTCATGGAAATCGAAATTGTATCAAACCGAATGAAATGGTTATCAGTTTTCTTTCAGTTTCTATATTCATAAACTGAAAATTGAACAACCAAATTGACCAATCCTAAGTTACCAGATAAGTTTCAGTCTAAGAACAGTTCATGTAATGTTAATTCAAGATCTCTGACCTTGTAAGAAATAACTCTGTCTTGAGAAAGTGTTGATAGAACACGTGTCACAGTAGACAACTCCGACGACTGTGATGCGAGAAGAAGGGTCCAAGCTTCCTTCTGGTGGTGACCGGCCACGACCACGGCCAGATGCTTGATGTGTCAAGCAAGAAGCGAGAAGCAGAAGATAGAGGAGAGGAAGATACATTGTGGCTAATCTCACTCGCTCTCTCTATTGTTCTTTTTGATGATAATGTGTGTATGTGTGTGTGATTGCAATATATTCAGTCCGTGATCTATTTTTGACCCCAACCACACTGTTTAACTAAAATTCTTTTTCCACTACCAAACAAAGACATGTGAAGAGCCTTTTTTGGCTCATTCTGGTGTTACAATGTGAGAAATGATCATGTAGAAGAAATTTCTTTTGGATCCTTTACCCAAAGAGTTTCTCTTTTCTTACTTATACTGATCTCTAACCCAACATTTCATGAGCCAAAGTCTCTCTGTTTTTTTGAAATAATGACAGTTATCTACATACTTGTTTTGGTTGATTAAAGGGTTTTACTGCTTTCTTGTGAGCCAAGTCTTTTACCTAACTCCACTCTTGGGAAGACTTGGAAATTCGGATAAAGCTAGCCAACTTATGTCCATACTTTGCTTCTATAAATGTATGAAACTCGTGGGGTTGTGTGTGGCTTCAAGCCTTCAATAACGTCAAACTATCAGCCATCTCATATGATAAAATTTTGAACTTATTGGGATCTAAGCTCATACCTTGAGAAATTAAGAGAAACGTCTACAAAAATGTTCAACATCAACATCTTGCTTGATATTAATTTTCTTCCTTACTTGTTTCTGTTGTTAGTTTTAACTTAGCTCGATTCTCGCATATCTAGACTAGTGCGTAATAATTTGGTTATTTGTGGATTGAACATCCATGCTACAATTACCGCAACACTTCACCAACTTTCAGTATTTATCAAATTACCAAGTAAAACTCTTGATCACATCATCAAGTTCCATATAAGATCACCAAGGATCATTATAAACAAAACCTCGAATATATCACAAGATCAACTCAATCATGAATTATTACCATTTAAATCACAAATATTCAAAATAAACATTTTGAAGATAATTTCGTGCCTTTAACCCTAAGTAGTTCTAAACAATTTTCGCTCACAACCTGTTGAAACAGGAAATCAAAAACATAGACATATAACAGTAAGAAAAATAATAGAAAAACTCAAACTTTTAAAAGTAAGAAAAGAAAAAAAAAAACCAAAAAGTTTTCACGGTAGCTTCTCATGGGTTCTATAAACATGAAGGTAATGAAAGATAATGATAGAAGGATTGAAGTAAAAAAAAAAGAAGAAGCAAAAGAAACAAGTAGGGTTTCTCCTCATAGAGGAGTTATCAATTTCTCTTGCGTGCCATAGAAGTAGGGTTGCCATCAAACAAGTCATCAATGAAAGACTCAATATCCTCAGGCTGATACTTGACATACTTATCCGTCTGCTTCCCTGAATCAAGATGTTGCTTATACCTCCCAAAGAAAGACCGATAAGCCGGAATCACCAACGCCGAGATTGACACCCTTAGCTCCGATTGCATCTGCTCATCACTCACAATCCAGGTGCTCTGCGTCTTGTGAATCTCATCGAACATAGTATTGAAAATCTTGAACCTCTCCTTCAAAACCGGCTTCGACACTTTCCCGTTCACTTGTAACCCTTCTTGATTCATGCATTGCAACACTTTCCCCCAAGTCTCTCTCTGGTAACTCTTATGATACTGTCTCAGCTCCGTCGATCTTTTCCTTGTCCATGACTGTCCCATCAAGTCCCTTATCTCTATCGACCCTTTAATCTTCTGAAGAATGTATCTTCCATTATTCATCAAGAATATGTATCTCAGTGATGGGTCTCTGTACAGTTTCGATTTGATCTCAAGATTTGCGTCAAGCAATTCCATCACCCTTATCATTTGTCTAGCAAAAGCTGACACTTTGTACTCTTCATCGTCGTCTCGTTGCTGCTGCTTTGGTTTGGTCTCTGGTTCAGGTTTGTTATCTGTTTGATTAGATTCATAGTGTTGGAACACTTGGTCTAATGTTTCTTTGTATTCACAAGCGTACTTGAGGTAGTTCATGGTGTAACGTGTTAATGGATGAACCGCGCCGCTCGGTACGGGAGTTCTTCCATTATCGCTCTTGATCGACTTCTCAAGCTCTCCGAATATAGTCACTGCTGCTTCACCTAGCCTCGTCTGAGCCAATTTAATCTCCTGGATCAAATCTGAATCAGATTGTTCCACCGCTGGAATCAAATCACGAAGCGTCTCATACATGTCTAGGAACTTGAAGAGCTTCTCCGACGACCGTTTAGTCAGCACCACCGCACCGGAGAAATCAAGAAACCGAATTGTAACAGCAGAGACCAAACCGGTGAACAGGCGTTTACGAATAGAGGCATGATCTTGATCCGGAAAGACAGCATTGCAAAGAGAAAGCTCGCCGGGAAAAAGCACGGTGGAGCAACGGCGAACGATTGAGATCCAAGAAGCGATTTCACCTTCGAGAGATTCCCAACCTATTCTCTGCACGTCTTCAACGTTGATCCCTTCGAATCCAACCTCGCTTAGCTCTTCCTTGAACGCGTGCCGTCTCGACATTTCGTATGACATACAACACTCTGCTTCGTAACCGGCGGAGATCATCGCTCCGGCGATCTTCTTCAACGTCGAGATCGATTCCGGTGGAAAATCCGGGAAACTTTCTTCCTCCTCCACTTCATGTTCCTGTAAAACGCATCGATCTGAATCGTTAGTTGAAGAATTGTTGTGATCGGAATTGTTCCCGTCGTTGTTGTTGTTCTTCTTCTTCTCCTCTCTGGAACGATCTAGAAGATGACGAAACTCTTCGTCGAGAAGAGATACAGCACGATGCTGAACCGAACTCGCCCGGTTTAACCAAGAAGAAACCGGAGTTGAATCTAATTTAAGCTCCCTCAATCTCATAACCGATTTCGAAATCCGGTTAACGGCGTCGATGAAGACAGAGTCCTCTGTTTCGTCCCTCCCAAGCCCAGAAGATTCCATTTTTGACACCAATGAATCCACCGTCTCCGGGAATGGCTCCACCGCCGGAGGAATCTCCCGTATCGGATCCTTCTCGGCTGAAATTGCTTTGATGAAATCGTCGACGGCCTCCATCACCTGAACAAGGCTCTGTTCCGAGGATTCTGATTCCGGCGTCGATGAATGCAGTTTTTGTTCCGATTCATCGGAATGTTGTTTATTCTCATGATCTTCGGATTTGTGATCATGAGTTTCCGATGATTCATTTGCGTGATGATTTCCAGATTTCTCCATTTTTTCGCCGGGAAAATTTTAAACCCTATCTAACTGATTTTTTCTGTTTTTTTTTTTTTTTTTTGGTCTTTTTTGGTTTTTTGAGGAAATTAAGATGGGAACAAATGGGACGAAAGGAGGAGATTAGTGTGAGGATTATCTTTTATTAATCCATTATTAGAGTTTCTTTCTTTCTTTCTTTCTTCTTCGACAATACTAATTGTGAATTTTTCTTTGTTTTACTTATTATATATTTTTTCTCTTATTTCTGAGGTTCGATTTTTTGGGTATCCATTGGCCGTTGACCGAGAAGGGAAAGATTATGCGTCCCACGATCTCTCTTTTTTAAATTACAAACTCAACCAGATCAAACTTGAGGTTTTATTATGTTGGAAAATAATGTATGTCGTAATATTATTCAACAATTTAATTTATGTTTGGGCCAAAATCATACTGTGATCCAGAGTACATTGTGAGTCCAGGACCGTCCTTTTACTCACGTAAAGCCTAAAGCTAAAAATATTGAGGCCTTTGTTTGCTTCTTTTTTTTTCTTTCAATTTTGTAAGATAAAAACAGTATGAATTTCATTTAGTATTTAATCATTTTCTATTGCTTAAATTACATAAATAATCTCTACTCCAAGATCAATTCTTATGTTTTTCCGCAATTTAAGCAAATCTTGCATCTAAGTTCTAGTCAAACCAATCATGCATTTGACGAACATGTTATAATCGTTGATTGAGGCTGACGATCAAGGATCTATGAACGGAAAATTTAATCATCCATCGTCGATAAGATTCCAAAAAATGTTACAACTCTTATATCTTATGATACAAAATTAAGTATGTGTTATGAAATCCTAAAAGAAGCTCAGGAAATCTATGAAATATATTTAGAACATCATTTGATTGGGAAATGACACTTTATCTTAATCGGAGGTTGACTGTCAAATCAATCAAGAAGACAGTAGTTTGATTGCAAGTTAATTCGTTTTGATTGATAATCAATTATTAGGGATGATTAATGTCAATTCCATTTTTTTCAATTGACTATATAACTGATAACCGCTATTAAATATTTGATTCTCTCATATGAGACTATAAATAGAAGTATCTATGTGGAGACATGAAAATGCAAGCTATACTTACGTTCTCTGCTTCAAGACCTAAGCTATCTTTTTGCAAATATGAATCTAGAGTTTGCTATAGAAAATAGGGGATCCTGAGGTAAAAGCAGAAGTCATTCTGTGCAATCAATGGTAAATATCCCACTTGTACTATAGGTGAAGGTGAGAGTGAAGATTTGACTGAGAACCAAAGAGATTTATAAGAGATCATGAGTTCAACACTATCATTACTTTAATTTTTTACAAGGGTAAATGAGTTCAAACAATTATTTGGTGACAACATTAAATAATGTTTTGATTTTTTTAAAAAAAGTTAAGTGAAATTAATTATAGTATGGGTTTTGAATTCCTTTGACCAAAAGCTATTTATAGAAATTCAAAAAAAAAAAAAATATTCGAAAACATCTTATAAAAGGAAACTGGGGAAATATGATTTTATCATATACTGATATACATCTGTCACACATATGAAATAAATATTAGATAGATGTTTACCATAAAATACATAGAACAAAATTTATAAATCGGCACAAAATCACGTATAAGAAACCATCATCGTCCTTACCATTTGTTTTCAAATGTTTTTATTTATCTTTCTAGTTCTTTTTTTTGTAATAGATTACAATTGAAGCAATACTGTTTTTGTGGGTTTTAGATAAGAAAGTTTTCAATCACACTTATAAGTGGCAAAAACGTGTAAAAAAACGTCTATATTCTGCTTTTATCACTTTACATAAAAGAGAGAGAGACCAAAGGTTTTTGTGCTTTTATTGACTCAAACAAATCATTGTAATGAGGAAAAATAGTACTAATAAAGAAAGAAAGAATTTTTGCTAATTTTGTTTTTTTGACAGCAAAAAGAAGATTTTTTGCTTAAATTAACAAAAAAGAAAAGAAGTAAATTTGCTTGTATTGAAGATAATCTCGTCAACGAGAAAAGTTTTGAATGAAGGAGGATTTACTGAGAGTTTCCGCAACGCGTCATTGTTAATTGGCAATTGGTAAAAGTGTGAACACTCGTGGACGACAAAAGAAGCTGCTTCATCTTTCTCTCTCTCTTCTCTCTCTCTTCTCTCTCTCTCTTTCTCTCTCAACTCCTATTCGTTTTTTACCAGAGTTCGAATCTGAACAAAGTTGGTTTTTTTATTGGTACCCAGAATCTCAATTCTCCTTCTTTCTTTCTGGGTATAGCAAAAGTTTCGCCTTTTTAATATTTATCCAATCGTTCCTGTTCAATTGGTTTCCCAGTAGGATTGAAGTTTTTCTTTTGTAGTTTTTGATTATTGGGAAAATTGAGTGGAGGAGATGGGTTGTTTCTCGTGTTTTGATTCGAGTGATGATGACGAGAAGCTGAATCCAGTTGATGAATCTAATGGTCAGAAGAAACAATCACAACCGACAGTATCCAATAATATTTCTGGACTTCCTTCAGGTTTTGATTTACTCATTTGTGTTTTTTAATGTTTTAATCCACTTTGGTTACATGCCCACAAGATCTGGTTATCTGATCCTGATTAAGCTAACAAGACTTGATCTCAATCACTGTTACTTTGGTTATATACTTATATGAGCTCGTGAGATGTTTTTAGGCTATTGGGCATGTTCTGATTCAGCTATATTCGAGTTTCTTGGTGAAAGATGAAAGGGAAAGTGTGATTCTTTGCTTCAATTTTCACTTGTTTTGATCTGATGTGTAAATTTTGTGTCTTGAAAAGAAATTGGACCTTGTGAGGATCAGGATCACATGATCCTACTGAATCAGGATTAAGATCTTAGATTTGGTTACTTGGGGATTGTGCCTTGAAGACATTGATACAAGTTTTATGCTTTTAGGGTGATTTGTTCTTGGAGTTTAAGTTGGTACTATGAGATATTGGAAGACTGTGAATGGATGTGTTTGGTAAATTGATTGGTCTTGATCATGACGTTGCAGGTGGGGAGAAGCTTAGCTCAAAGACCAATGGAGGATCAAAAAGGGAGCTACTGCTTCCAAGGGATGGGCTTGGACAAATTGCTGCTCATACATTTGCTTTCCGCGAGCTTGCTGCTGCAACTATGAACTTTCATCCTGACACTTTCTTAGGCGAAGGTGGATTTGGACGTGTGTACAAAGGAAGGCTTGACAGCACCGGTCAGGTATTTTTTTGTTTTGTTTGATTTTAAGGAAATTACATCACATTTCTGTCTCTACCATTGTTGTTATTGAGTTTTACTGGGAGATTTTGCTTCATATATTGAAGGAGTCTTATCTAATCAGTGTCATTTTAGGATGTTTTTCGTTTCATAAGGAGTTTTGTTTATACGTTTCGAATGCTAAATTTTAAAGAGAATTCCAATTTTGTAGTTTTAAATGTAGTTTAGAAAGAAAGAAGAAAGTGTAGTCTTGGTAAATGACAAGACATACGCTTGAAATTTTTTCTTAATACATGTGAAAAATTCAAGAATGCTCTTTGTGAAGTGAAGTGAGTGGAGGGTAACGTCTTATGTTCTCTTGATTTTCAACATTTTTCTTGAATGATGAATTTGATAGGAAATGATTGTGTAAGATGCTGCTCGCCAACTTCCAGTTGTACAAGGCTATATTACAGTGTTAAATAGATGACTGACTTTTTTATATATGTTAACATGAATTTAGCATACCTAGTGAACAATTTTACCCTTATGTTTTTACTGTTGACCTTTTGTAACCTGTGTGTACAGATCAGCTGTTTAGCTCGATGATTTCGCTTTACATTAATGTTGTACCTCTGATCTCTTTTTCTTAACCATTTTCAGGTTGTTGCTGTTAAACAACTGGACAGGAATGGTCTACAAGGTAACAGAGAATTTCTGGTAGAGGTTCTTATGCTCAGTCTTCTTCATCATCCCAACTTAGTCAACCTTATTGGTTACTGTGCTGATGGAGATCAACGCCTCTTAGTTTACGAGTTTATGCCGTTAGGATCATTGGAAGATCACCTCCACGGTAAATCTCTCTCACCAGTGCTTTTCTAATCTCTTACCATTTTAGACCTCTGAGATTCTTTGTGATCTTAGTCAACATCAACCCAAAGATTCTTTCTTATCTTAGTCAATGTCAACCCTAACTTTAGCAGATTCTTCATTCATTTGTTTATTTTTTATAATCATTACCTATATATTATACATGTAGACTTAACTTGAGACGTAGTAGTTGCTGGTTTTTCTTTTGGCAGCCTCTAACAAATAAATTTTTATATTTTCCTTTCGGGATTCTCTTCTGCCTCAGACCTTCCACCGGATAAGGAGGCCTTAGATTGGAACATGAGAATGAAAATAGCTGCTGGTGCGGCGAAAGGATTGGAATTTCTACATGATAAGGCAAACCCTCCGGTTATTTATAGAGATTTTAAGTCATCAAACATTTTACTGGATGAGGGTTTCCACCCAAAGCTTTCTGATTTTGGGCTTGCTAAACTCGGACCAACTGGAGACAAATCTCATGTCTCCACTAGAGTTATGGGAACTTATGGTTATTGTGCTCCCGAGTACGCAATGACGGGACAATTGACAGTAAAATCAGATGTATACAGTTTTGGTGTGGTTTTTCTCGAGCTCATTACTGGTCGCAAAGCTATAGACAGCGAGATGCCTCATGGAGAGCAGAACCTGGTGGCTTGGGTAAATCAACTCGCCATCATCTTCCATTGATTTGACATACAGTTTTTCATTCTCGTATGCGAATGTATGTAAGAATTTTTGGTTTTAATTGTTAACATTTTGGTGTTAACAGGCTCGCCCATTGTTCAACGACAGGCGAAAGTTCATAAAACTGGCTGATCCAAGGTTAAAAGGGCGGTTTCCAACACGTGCACTCTACCAAGCTTTAGCTGTGGCTTCAATGTGCATCCAAGAGCAGGCGGCTACACGTCCTCTCATAGCAGATGTTGTCACTGCACTCTCTTATCTTGCAAACCAAGGTTATGATCCAAGCAAAGATGACAGTAAGAGAAACCGAGATGAAAGAGGGGCGAGGTTAATAACAAGAAACGACGATGGAGGTGGCTCGGGAAGTAAATTCGACCTAGAAGGTTCCGAGAAAGAAGATTCTCCGAGAGAGACAGCTCGGATATTGAACCGAGATATCAATAGGGAGCGTGCGGTTGCAGAGGCTAAAATGTGGGGAGAGAGCTTGAGGGAGAAACGAAGACAGAGCGAGCAGGGTACTTCAGAGAGCAACAGTACCGGGTAGAACCGGTTTGGGTCTTGACCCTTTTTTGTTCTTATTTCTCAGACTCTCATTTATTGTCAAACATAGAAAACAAACAAAAACATTGGGACCACGAGTTGCTGTACATTATATATGTGATGTTGCAATATGGGCAAAAGGTTAATAACCAAAACTCTCTAATTGAGATTCTGGAGAGTTGTGAAGATCATTCATGTAAATTTTGTAGTCTTTCTATTTTGATTTGGGATTTTGACAGATAAGATAATGTTTGATGATGCGTCACATGTGGCGATGTTTACGTCTGATGGAAGATTAAATTGCAAAGATCCAATATTAAGTGTTTCTAGACTCTTTCATGTGGTTCTGTGGTATGGCTAATGTCCACAGTCGCGGAGTTTCGGACAACGTGGGTCACATGCCCTCGCAATCTGACAATTATTTTAAGGATGGCTTATTCAGATTGTAAGATTTTGGTAAGTCTTATCAAGTTTTTGTCGGGACATTTTTTTTACTATTGACAGTGTAGTGTACTGTGTTACTGTGTACTCTATTGAAATGCATTTCGAAATTTTTCGTATGTTTTATTTTTGGTGACCGACTTTTTCTAACTCTAAACACTCGGAGGATCTAGAAAATCCTAAATTCTAGACTTTTTTAGTAAGAAAAAATTTAGTCAACTAAATATTCTCTGTCTTTTTTCCATCTAGAGACACTAATTTTTATAAGTTAATTAATTATAACCTATCATACACCGCCATGCGTAATTTGTCAAAATTCGCTATAATATGATTTTTTGTCGGATTCTGTCGTTACCATTTAAAATGTAAGTTAATTAATAAATATTTCTTTTTTTTTCGAGTATACGAGTTATTTATAATTATGTTAAATTATTTTGGGGTAATTTAGTCATAGGATGATAATAATATTTTTAGATAATTAAGAAATATTGTATATTGTTACTAATCCATTTTTTTAATGAGCAAATACTATAGTGATTGCCACTCTATTGATGATGTGATTTTGCTTGGAAGTGTACGAACGTTCCACCTTTATATTAAAGATTTGCTAGCAATACATTTTCATCAGAGCATTGGGACGTCTTGACATATTTTTTATTTGTTTCCAAAACTGGACGGTGAAGATTTTTTTCGTACTTTTTTCTTGAAAATTAGAATTAGCTGTATATACTTGATGGGGACAATTTAGATCACAAACTTTTTCTTCCGACTCATAAATATTTGTTAAAAAATCTCCAAATCGTTAAACAGTATGTCGTCAATGGTACAAGACCATTCGTTATCTTATTGACGGCGACATCTTAAAGACAAATCATAAAAAGGTGGTCAACCAGCTTATTAGTATGAGTAATCAAGCTACTGAGGTTTATTATATCAAATGAGCACTAGTTACAACTTACACAAAGATAATATATTCAAATAAACACAAAACTTTATGCAAGTAGTACATCATCAATAAGATACGAAACAAAAATGGAAATTTAACAAACCACCCCGCCGATAATACAATTTCTTCCTTTGGCCGGCCCGACGAGCCGAGAGAAAGAGAGCAAAAGAGAGAGAGAGAGAGAGAAATATTTTGCTTCACATATATTGACACTTCAAACGGTTTCAGGACGAGTAGTCTCCACGTGGCATTTGCCGTTTTCAATTGACGGCTCCTCCACTTTAGTAACTTTGGACAGATCCTCATGACGAACGGCGTCAGAGAGTGGGTCCACCGATTCCGTCACAACTGGGTGCACTTCCGACACACCTAACGGACTCATCACGACAATACTCTTAAGTTGTTGTTCTGACGAATTAATCTTCTTTTCCATCTCTGGTTTCTCATTTGAGTTCCTGTAAACTCCGTATAAAACCATTTGCAACAGCCCTAGTACGAATCCCACCACGTTTGGAATCTACAAAAACAACAACCAAAAAAAAGTCAGTAACCTCTTTTATTTTTTTTACCAAAAATATGAAAAATTTAGAAAACGGTAAAATTAAAAAATAAATGCTTACCGCTATGCATATGTCGTTGAGGAATAAACCATAAGCGAACCACATAACGGCGCTTATAGTGAGGAAGAAAGAAAGCGTGAAGGGCATGAACTCCACACTCTTTGTCTTTATCACACGAGCCTTTTCACAACAAAGAATTTAAATTTAACATTTTATTCCAAAACATAATGTTTTAGAAATAAATTTACAAATTAAATAGATATGTAACGCTAGCTTACCACGATCATTAGAGGGGCAGCGAAAACAGAAACAGAAATGGCAACGCAAATCCAGCCTAGGACAGAGACTTGGAGGGTGGGAGTTTTAACCACGAAATGTGTTACCATTAGAATCAACGAGAAGAAGGCAACGTTCATCGCTATGAACAACTTCATAGCCGATATCTGTCAAGACGTATATTATTCATTGAATATTGGTATTTTAATTACATAGCGGAATTAAGGAGGAGGAGAGGGGAATAAATTTACCCTTTTGTCCCTGGTGGCGTAAGCGAAGAACATGGCGATGTAGAGAGTCTCCACAACGCAGCCGAAGGAGTTTATGGTAATTAGGAGAAAAGCGTCTTTCTTAATCAATGCGTAGTAGAGCCATAGCATGCAGCTAAATAGCGACACTTGGTACGGTAGCGACTGGAAACTTTCCGTCGATTTTTTCTTGTATATTCTATAAAAAGTTGGCCTGAATATTTTGAAAACAAAATCATCAGAATCATTCTCAAAATTAACAAAAAAATAAAATAAACGAAAGTTAACAAATCGAATATACTTACACTGGAGCGAGGAATACAAGGAAGGATATCACGTTTCCTGTAATTCCATTAAAAAGAAAAAGAAAAAATGAGTCAATTGTATAATTAAGAGGCTTCTAGGTTTGTTGAAACACAAGTACATGAATCAGTACGAGTTCTCTAACCAACCTCAGCGGGGAATTAAATTGTGCATTAACCACTATACACGTATTGAGTATGATATAACATAGACAACAATGCGTGACGATTTCGATTTAATTAATAGCTTACGTATTGATTAATTTTTTGGTAGTTTGGGCTTTAACTAAAGAATTAGAAGATCCTTTATGATCCCAAATGACTTAGTTTAGTTAATGAAGAAAAAACTTGAAACTTGTTAGGTGAGTCATGATGAACTCTCCAGAATTTTAATTCATTTCTTAGGACTTTTGTTTAATTAACTCTTATAGCTAGTAATACAATGGAACCCTACACATTTTAGTTTATTATATTTTTAGAAATCAGAAGCTTAGATGCAAAGTTGCAACATTATAGTTGCTGTTGCAAATTCCTTATTATAAAAAAATATATTAACAAGTAAAAAATAAGAATAATAGTAAAGAGAAGAGATGATGAATAAACTAGGATTTGGCTTATTTTATCATTACCTAAGATGCCGAAGATAAAAGCGAGCAAATGGTGATTGATCATGACTCCCATTTTCTCTAGCGATTGAGAAGCTTTTCTCGTTTGGAGATTTCTATAGGGTCTCAGTTTTTTTTTTTTTTAAACCCTAAAGCTGATCTCTCTCTCTCACTAGAAGATGCTTCTTTTTATTTCATGGAGGAAACTGAGGAGGCTCAGGTGGTTTATATATAGCTCCAAAATAACCATTGTAGTCAAAATATTTTGATTTTAATTTAGAGTTATTTGAAGCGTGTAACGTGTTGAGTAGAATAAAAAACCAAAAAATAAGAATCGAAAAGGAAAACGAACTCAGCCTGGTTGCATGACAAGTGGAGATATTAGTAGGTAGCGTTTGCATTTTATCATTCACTCAATCTTACTTCTTTCCTCTCCTACTCGCATCTCACACGCGCGTCTCCTTTTACGATTTCATTTTCTTCACGCCTTCTTTTTAATTAGCTTTCATAAATCACATTTTAGTACCATAGTTTTGTACTTTATAGACGATAAATGAATATCATGGTGACCAAAAGTCTACCCAACATCAACCAATATAGAGGAAATCATCACTAGATTACATTACGATTTGTACATTTTGATTTATTCTTTCTATTTCTCTCTTTTTTTTTGTTTAAAGTACATATGAATTGGACGACCCAAAGTATCACACATCTATTCAATGCACACAATAAATATAGACATCATTTATAACAATTTACTTGAATTGTAGATTTAATCATTAGCTAATATTTTTCAAATATGTTTACAATGAATTTAGTTGTTTTGTCTATATTATCGTTACAATATTAATTATATATGACTTAAATGAGAGAGGGGTGGAATTAGTTTCATTTAAATTGGTTTTTGTAAAGGAGTCTAGGTGAGAATGATTAATCTAACATAGCTAGAAATCTACGTGTGATGACTATATTAAACCAACGCATTTATAGGTAGCACAAAAAAAGTAGAACTACTAGTAAAGTAGTAAAGATATTTATTCGCAGAAAATTGACGCCGTTCTCTATAAAATTATTGGCATTTTCAAATGATTAACCAAAGTAGAAATAAAACCATTCACATCTCCTGATCAGATTTCTCATTTCTCTCTTGTCTAGAAGTACACGTTTTTTTTTCCTTGTACAAAAAGAAAACGTTAAAAATCATGCATGTTTTGAGCAAAAACTCCACGCGTCGGAACGGAGCGTCGCGCGTGAGAATAAATTAAGGTCTTAAACGAAAAAAATGATGCGTTACGAGAGAGAGTCGTAATTAACAATACAATAATAATTAGCATGAAAATGAAAATTTTGTGCAAATCACGTGACCTCTCCAAACGCTTCCACTTATAGCCGTTTCTTTAGAGTTTGTAGAGACACACACACGAGAGCTATGCCACGTCATCAGATGCTGACTAGGCAACACCCTCTCTTTGGTTTCGTGTCTTTAGAGTATTTTCTGTTTCTGCTCTTCTTCTCCTGTTTTAATCCCTATTTTCAGGACTCGATCGTATTCTTATATTAGTATATATAAAATTTGAGATAACAATTAGTCTATTTAGTTTTCTAATGTTTATAAACTTTTTTTTTCGTTAAATTTTGTAAATAAGGATGCATGTATCTATCATTTTTGGTAAATGTCTAATGCAGTAATATCCATCACTACTCAGAGGTTGGTTGAATATACATTTTTTTTTTGTTGCATTTGTTTCAATAGTTATGATGAAAGGAATCTGAATACTTTGAAAAAAAGGTTGAGAAAATTACGAAACAATTCTCCATTTTTCGAGGGTAAGTTAAAACAGATATTAAAAGTGGGAAGAAATGGACAAAAGAAGAGTGACGTGGTAGGCTAATGATAACAATGATCATGGGTTTGTTAAATCCTTCTTGTTCTTATTCGTGAGTATTTGTTTCTCTCTCTCTTTCTTTTATTTGGTCCAAAATATTTTAAAATATGAGAGGTGCCACTTTTGTGGTTCTCCTCCACCTTACTTTTTCCATCTCTAATTATTATTGAAGCAATTTTTGGTTTATCTTGTGCCTAATATATTTTTGGTTTATCTTGTGCCTAATATATTTTTGGTTCATCGTACGATCCCATGCGGTGTTTGCGAATTCGCATTTCACATTCCCCTATAACTTCTCTATGTTATTTACTAGAAATATATCTATGTATAGTCATGAACATTATATATTTATAATTCACTAGCAAGATTGCAACACATCTCAATTTATCGATTATATTTGGACATATTTTATGGAATAAAATTTTGTTTTTTTAAAGCTTCAGTTTTAAAATTTACATTTGTTATTAACTTCTCAATTTATATCTATTTGTAAATTGGAAAATTAAATGGAAGTAGTTCAAAAGACCAATAGAAATATAAAATGGATATTTGTTCACTTATTATAATAATTTATTAATATGAAAAAGAACATTTTTTACTAATACGTAGATGTAAATGTTACTGCTAATTGGTTTATAATAGTTAATGTGGATGCATGTTATTGTGGATGTTATTTATTTTCAGAACATTTAATGATGTTATTGTGTGTGATTGTGTACCACAAAAAAATGATGTTTTGATGTGCATGCAGATGTGTTTGATCTGTTCTATCAAAGTTATTAACATTAGTTCTTTGTGTGTTTTCAGGTTTTTTTTTTTTTTTTTTTTTTGGGCAAATGTGTTTTCAGGTTTTAACTTTAAAATTTACAACGTCTAGATTATTTTTTATCGTCTGTTCATGATGAAAGATTTGTCAAAAATATATAAATTAAAATTTTCATATGTATCAAAAAATATATATAGTTCAAAGATAAATTTTTTCTTAAAATGATGTCTAATTATTTACCGCTTAGTTTCATTTTGTAAGTTAGAGAAGATTTGATTTCCTCTTTCGCTTAACATATGCTCATCTCTATGTATCAGAAGATGTTAATTTGTTCATCTTTATTGTTTCTTAAAGAAAAAAACAATTTCTGTAACCCATATATGAAATGGGTTTTCGTTTTTTAGTGGATGATGTTCTAAATGAATTATATGGAAAATATAACTAACATCGGCTGATCAAACCCCAATAATTTAGGCAGCTAGGTGACCCACGTTGATTTATGATGTATGCATATAAATTTGTGTATGTTGCTACCACATAAAGGAAAAATGACAATCATGTGGGTGAAATTAAACCTCCCCCGATCCTATCGTTTTCTGATTTCAATCGGTTATACGAATCTAGCTTTACACACACATACATTTATCTAGCTATGCTACATATAGCTTTCAATGATAGATATCTATGATTTGTTTGCGAATTGATTACCAAATAAACACTACTATATCATTATGATAAGTCTATTGAATCTATATTAGTCATAATACCAGAAATTTTGTATGTATTAAACTATGAACATTGGCTTGATGGAGATGAGGCAAATGACTCATTGTTCAAATAATTACTCAAATAAATTATTTCAATTATACATATTTATAAGAATAATTACACCATTATGATAATAAAATAAATGTAATGACATGGTTGATATAACTCTTATAAATATAATCACATATGGCCAAAGTGCTAAACTGTTTATGACAGAAATATAAATACGAATCCTCATATTACGTACTTACGTGGATCACTTCTAGATAAATTTCAATCATACATAAAAAAAAAAAAAAAAAAAAAAAAAAAAAAAAAAAAAAAAAAAAGAAACAATAACATTCGAGAAAGAGATTTCTTAATTGTTAGATAACATGTTCTAAGATCAAATTTTCTAGCTAGTACATGTATTAAGACAAACTTGCATGTACTATAAAGTACGCGTTCTTTTGCCGTCTACGTTATTATAATTAATTAATTTATCAGTAACCAAACAACATATTTTGATGAAAAATTACAAACATAGCCGCTGAAGTTAGTGGACACATATATTTATGACCATAAATGATAAGTACATGAAATTAATTTTTAATCAAACGGATGTTCCTTAAACGAATCGGTCTTCTGCCTCAAGGATGGGTCAAGAACTCAAGATATTTTGAGAATGTGTCGTTCATATATAAATAAACTATGGTCCAATTAATTAAATACGGAGGCAATGAAAGTAAATGATGATATATGAAAGCAAATATTAAAGGTTGAAGAAGGCTAATGTAATTTGGTAATCATTGAAGAACGATTATATATATATCTCCTAAAACTCCTTTTGTCCTTTTCAATGTTTTCATCAATTAATCATCCCTCTTAATAGAATCAATCAAACAGACCCATTCTCAGGTTCCTACATTTGATAACGACCTCTTATTGGAGCTCATCCTTTTATGGACATATGTAATAAAAATAACTATATTTTTTTTTGGTATCAAATATAAAAATAAAAATGACTATAAATTGCAATTACCATACGTGAATAATATATGTGTGGTTGCAAATTTTCAATAGAAATCACAAGTAAACCAATATGTGATAGTTCGAGCCAGATTAAAGTTAAAATATGTACTCTTTGATTCCTAAACTTGCGTTAAATTTATGTTTTTTGGGAATTAAGTAAGTACAGTGGTAACAAGCAAAGTTAGACTGACATAGACAATAGATCGGCATATTTTTTCCAAATATGCGTTTATATATTGATCACAAAATTGTCACACACAAAAAAAGATATGCCAATTTTGTTGTATTGTTATTTCTCAATTTTTGTTTTATGAAAAAAACGTATGTCTGATATATATATATATATAGCGATATACAATCTATCTGAGATATCCGACTAGAAATATTCTTTTTACAAGTATCCATGACTTTTAGCAGGTTTTGTTGTTAGAGGTTTGCATGGAAAAATACTCATTTTCTTTTTCTGGAAATAGCAATTTTCCTAGTCTCAATCATATGGAATGTGCTTTTGATGTATCCATTCCATGCAGCCTTTGGCACGTCTCTTTTCTTTCATATTGGGTTTCGGCGATATTGTTCTTTCATATACGATGATATTCGAATCTTTCCAATACTTTTGTTTCCCATTGGATACGGGTGATCTCTCTGCTACTTGCTACT